TGCTGGTGGTACCAAAGCCACTCTCGCAGGAGCAGGCACTTCTAGCCTGGCTTCGCCAATCAGAGCTTCTCCGCGCTCTACTGGCCTTCTTGCTGCAACTTCCCAAGGAAGTCCTCGGAGTTCCCTCAAGTCCTCCGTCGTCCATTGGTCCGCTGGACTAAGTCTCCGGATACCTTGTCCTCGGACCACTCCTGAGTCCGTCATTAGTGACAACGTCCCAGTTCTTCCATGATGACCGATGTATCGGCCCACTTTCAACGGCGTCCTCTCAGCCGTTCCAACTGGCCTATAGTAAAGCCTCTCTCCGAAAGCTATTGCTGGCTTCCTCCAGCGCTTTCCTGAACGCCTCTGCTCTGGCGTCTTTCCATCCCTGCCCTTGCGGTACCGATTCAGCAGATCTCCCACATGCCGTGGCATCCAGGCCAGCATGGGATCTGTGTCACCTAAGGGCTGTCCCAGCTTCTCTTCCAAAGCTGATCTTCCAACTCTGATGTGCATCTTTATCTCTTTGCACACCTGCTCAATTTGACCATTGCCTTGATGATCTCCCACTGGAGATTCACGTGGAACTCCTTCCACACCAGCCGCCGTTGCGGCCTGCACCTTAAGTGCAACGATCGATGGTTCCCCATCGCTCTGCAGCAACACTCTCTTATACCCGAGGGTTTTCAAGTAGTTGCTGAAGTACTTCACCGCATACGGTGTCGGACCCTTCGCGTCCACGAAGGTAGCAGCCACTGACGTAGTTCGGCTGTCCTTCATCACCAAGATGGGTTTTGCTCTCCCATCATCCTCACCGTTCACTGTCATGAACGTGTAGTCGCAGGATATCATTGGTATCCCGTCCTGACTCCGGGCTTCTTCGTCCCGAGTCGGATGCTGCTGTCCAGCACCCCTTCCGGCAACGCAGTGCCGACACCACGTGCGATACTGCACATGGCCTGTACTCTCATGTTCCTCCACCTCTTCGGGTGTCGGATCCGTAGGTTCTCTTATTCGAATGGGTTGAGCCATCTCCTCCAGCTCAACTTCCTCACCAGCCTCACCTTCATCCCCAGGTCGGCCTGGAGGATTAGGTGGTGCCTCGGCCGCTTCACCTGCAGCCGCTCCTAATTCTCTGGTCGGACTTACACGTCCTTCCGCTGCCGGCCAAAACCCTGTTCGGGGTTTTCACCCACCGGTGACTTTCCTTGCAAGTAGAAGTTATAGATGCCTCTCTCTTGATACAACTTAAGCCATTTGCGCTTTTCGCTGGCTGCGGCCTTCTTCAAGATCCTTTGGATGTCCTTTGCCGCTGCTGAGTTCAAAGGCAAAATGTGGCCTCCGTGTTCGTCAAGAACTGCCAGACGGCCTTTGCTCAGACACTTGTAGGCTGATACCAGCGGTTTGTGCACATTGGCTATTGGTCCGGTGATTTTGCAGTCCATTTTCGTCTGACCCTACATAGGATCCAGTCCGTTCACTGGGAACCAATTCAGCTGATGCTGTCTTGAACGTCACAGTGGTTCCTGGCGTCCATTGGATGGCGTTCCAGGACTTTGGAATTGCCGTTTGTGCGGCACCTGTGTCCAAGTTGAATTTGGTCCACTCACCACAATCATGTGGTTCCGAATTCATAGTGACACCATTCATTTCGAAAGTGCCAACCTCTTCATTTTCGGGTTCATCACCCGCTTCATACTCGGCATCTTCTTCCTGTCCGGCCTCATCGAGGGCCGATGCATGTTTCTTCGGCTTTCCTTTTCCTTTTCCTTTCTTGCCATCGTTTGAGCCTTTGCTTGAGCCTTTACTTGAGCCTTTGCTTGAGCCTTTCTTTCCTTTTCCTTCTTTTGAGCCTTTAGAACCGTCTTTCTTCTTACTCCAACAGTCTGCAGCCTTATGTCCCTGTTTACCGTAGTTAAAACAGGTCATGTCCTTGTCATTATTCTTACCACCTTTGTTTCCTTTACTTCCCTTACCTTTGCCTTTACCTTTCACCAAGGAACCCAGCCATGCTGCGAGGGAGTCGACCTCCATAGGCGCTGGTCCTTGGCTTGACGCTGCTGCTGATCCCGGCCTGTGGATCTTTCCCTTCGAACCCAGCATGGTTTCCATCAAAACTTCAATTTCCTGTTTGATAAGGCTATAGGATGTTAATCTACTTTTGTTGAGAATCCGATGCTTTTCCAAATCTGTGGGTACTAGGAGTTCTATGGCCGTGCATTTGATGTCATCTCCGAGGGTCTCCCTCTGCCCGCTTTCATTCTTTCGGGCCTCATACCTCCGGATCAAATCATCAAGTTGTTCAACTGCCGGCCTAACTCCTTCCCATGTTTTGGTACGTTCTGGATTGAGTATTGCCCTAAGGATGTTCCTTTTTCGACCCGCTCTGACCGGGTCTCACCGGCGATTCAACCGCCGCCAAGCTTCAAATCCCGAAGCTGCCAAGTTTGCGCATCCAACCACAAGGTCTTCGGACTCACCTGTGGTCAACGAGCTAAGCACTCGATAGAGTTGGTCGCACTTATCATCCAACCTTGGGATTCCATCTGGATCCAAATCATCCCCAAACTTGGTTTCTAGGGTTGTAAAATCAACCGCATCCTCAAGGTCTAAGCAGTAATCCAAAACATCTTGAAACTCTTTTCCAAACACCCCAACTGTAAGGTTGCAAACCGTCCTAGCCCATCTACGGAAACTTTGTTCATCGTTGTTGAAGGTTTCTGGTTTTCCTAAACCCTTAGTATCTACCAACAACCTACGATCTTTTCTTTCGCTTTTGCTTTCTAAAGATTTAGCCAAGTCCCCAAGAGATTTGGCCATCTCTGCAACCCCAGTCTGCTGCGCCCTGAGCGCTTCATTTTCCTGTTGCAGGGATTGCTGCCCTGTCTTGAGTGAAACGTTTTCAGCCTGAAGCTGCTGTACCTGAGCTTGAAGCTCTTGCAGCGCCGTTTGCACTGCAGGATCCATCAGAAGTAATCCACAACGGCGTCTTGCTCCGCCGCTTCTTCTTCTTCTTCTTCTTCTTCAGATTCCCACACGTACGTGTCCGTGTACGTGTACGTGTACTCACTGTCTGATGGATGCTCTTTCTTCGGCTTGGCCTTGGGTTCAACTGATGATACGGCAGCCGCTGGTCTCTTCAGAACTGAAGTCCCAACAGGTTCTGCTGTGGCTTCGGTCTTTGGCTTCTTCCTTGACCGTTCAGCCTTTTCCTCAAGGGTTCTCTTCTCTTTTCTTTCCTCTCGGGCCGCTTTGTCTTCGGCCTCTCTCTGCCTTCGTCTAAGGGCTTCTTCCTGCTCAAACTTCCGTTGAGCTTGCTCCAACTGTTCTGGAGTTGGATTCACTAGCGTCAGGTTCCGGCCGATATAGTAGGTCCTCTCTCCAGCCTTAGCTGGTGGCCCTGCGGCCTTTGCTTCCTGCGCTTTGGGTTTAGGTGGTGGTCCTTCCGCCTCTGGTTCGGTCTCTTGCGACCGTTCAGATGCTCCTGGTGGTCTTTGTCGTCGAGGTCTCAATGCCACCGGGACTCTCCTCCGTGCTCTTGCTTTTGCCTGAGATTTTGCTACAACTGAGGATGCAAATCGATGTACTGCTGATCGCTGGCGTGTCTTGCGTTCGTCACAAGATGAGCAAGCCTCGTCGATCCCGTCGGCTTGGTAAACCCTTGCAGCAATTGCAGTCGCGACAGTGCCCCGTGCACGTGCCTGTGCAACGGCTTCTTGAGCTGCAGCACTTCGCTGTCGATAGTTGGATCCTAGGGCTGCTTCCGATCCGATCGCACCGCGCGCAACACGAGCCTCAGCTAACCTTGTAGTACTGGGATGGACTGTAATCCTCCTAGCACGTCCGGCCACCGCCTTCGGTGTTGCGGACCCTTTTCCTTCCGATCTCGGTGGATCGTCTCGGCTCCTAGACCGTTCCCTGGTCTCAGCCTCTGTTGAAGGATGGTCGCTCGGTCTTAAATCGACCGTTGATGTTGCTCCTGATCCGCTAGAAGCTCCTCCTGGACCAAATGCGTCCACGATGTGTTGGAGATGTTCTGGAAGGTTCTCGCCGTACTCAACTACGGGCTTCCCTTCTCCTTTCTTTCCGGTTCCTTTACCCTTGGCTCTCTTGTCTTTCTTTCTCTGGAGTGCTTCTGCGCTCCTCCAGCGGCGATTGGGGTTCTCCGCAAGCCACTCCTCAGCTTGCCCCTTCGCTTCGGCTCCTTTATCTCCTTTGGCTCCTTTTCCTTTGGCTCTTTCCTCGGCTTTCTCTCTATAGATCCTTTCTCTTTCCTCTTCTTCGGCCTTGTCGATCCGTGCCACCGTCGAGTAGGTATGCACAAACCCACTTGCGGTGGTTGCCTTTGGGAATGGACCTCTCCTCGGCACAATCCCAAGTTCGTAGACTCTCTCCGGCCTACTGGCTCCTCCTCCAGGAGCTTCCTCGGGCTCTTCCGGCCCGTCGCCCGCTTCTTCGGGCTCGGCCGCCTCTGCGGCCTCTGCTCCTCCTTCCGGAGCTCGTTCGGGCTCTGTCGGCCCGTCGGCCCCCACAATGGGCCCAGGAGCCACAGGCTCCTCTCCTCCTCCGAAATCTGGGGTTTCGGTTGTATCGCTCGAATCCCTGTCTCGAACCTCTCTCGCTACCATGCAAAACTATTTACTTACAAACCTGAGCGCTGCGGAGCGCCTTTTCCACTTGAGCCAAAATAACGGATACGCAGGGAATGCATTGGGCTCACCTAGCTGTACATTATGGTGATATATTTCTGCATATATTATAATATTATATAATATAATTAATTATAATTATATATATACACATCATATACTGTATATCTTTTCTGTATTGTTGGATGTTACCATTACAGTAATTATTTTGCACTTGTCTACGGGGTCCCGAGGGTAAAAAAAACGAGTTAGCCACCATTTACGATCTTCCAGGACTTCCAGAATAATCCAAGTAGAACACGGTCTCAAACTGGATTCTGACCAGACCAAGCATCTGAGGTTTCTTGCCAAATGCTCCGTGCTCCGTGCCTCTCTGCATGACTGGTTGGTGTGATGGGAAAGCGCCAAGCTGCAAACATGGCCTCGACCCCAGGGAAACTTTGGATCCGTAGTGTTTTAGGGACTCCTTTAACCATGTCTTTTATCGTAATCCTTTGAGCCTGCCCTCAGCTCTGTTCCATCAAAGAAACTAAACAAGTAAGGTGTTTCGCGGGATCCAAGGAAACAAATCATTTACATATCAACATTCTCATATTTGAATATATTTGAATGAATGCATATTCAGGCAACCTCAGGATCATTTCCCCTGCCAACTCGTCCATAGCCCATTGCAGCCGATATGCCAGCAAAACGAAACAGGCAGGAATCGGGCCAACCAACCATCGCATCACCTGCTGTGGTTTGTATTCACAAGGTGAATACATGTGAATACACCATGCCGAGAGATGGGTCTCGGTCACCAATGTTTGGGCAACTGTTCATAGCAATTTCCCCGAGTGTCTTTTCCCGAGTGTCTTTCCCCGAGTGCTTTAATCTGTTTGAACGTGTTTTAACCATTTCTGGTGGGTTCGCTTTCCACTTCAGGTTTGAAGGTGCGGTGCGACGGTACGACATTACAAACACAAATAAAATTCAAGCAAGGTGAAAAACCATTGCCCTGGAAAAACAAAATAAAGTTTCTTCCAGCGAACAAGTTGTTCAAGCATCTAACCTTCAGCCAATCCAACCTACTGAAATCGCACCCAAACTGAGTCCAATATTTCTATACATTTCCTGTGCACACCACTCAAGTTGGGGGCATCATAAAACCATTTCAAAGGATGTTTCACCTTCAACATGGGACACCTACGAACAACATCACTGATAAGTACTGTAAGTTTTTTTTTCTGTAGGTATTTCTTCACATGCATTCCTGAAAACAAGACAACCACAGTGTTTTCTGTAACAGGCTGCCGGTCACAGTAATCAGGGCCGGGTCAATAAATCTATATCTTTATCGTAGGTGACCGGGAAAACATCATCGAACAGGATGGTGCAAAGTTCTGCTTGGCTGATGATGGCGATTATGACAATGATGATGAGTCTTGCAAAGTATCAGGTGCCAACAAAAATACTTCGAGTGATCGACAACAACTGACATATACTCTTGTATTTGATATGCCATTCTATTGTCTGACATTCTATCAATGCATATTCCAACATTTTAGATGATATACGATCTGACCTTTTGTCTGACCTTTTGATTCTTTCATCTTGCTGCAGGCGCTCCGCGCGGAGCTCAGGAGGACGAGGTGTGGATTTCAGGAGGGGGCAAGGTGACATCAAACATCATAAAACCATCATAAAACCATAGAAAACCTAGAGACCCTCACCATTTTTTGAACACAATTGAAAGCAACCATCACTGGAATTTCCCATTCGCTACCTGCACCACGGAGGCAGCTTGCGCAGCTTCAGCCGTTTCAAAGACGCCCTGGTCCGTACAGCTGGAACTTGGAGCAACATAGCTGGCCTCGTGGCAGATCTTTCCATGGGGGACGAAGTACTTACACACACAGCCAAGATGCAAATGTATAAATGAGCTCACACACATATATATATATATAATACATACTTGTATATTGTATATATATATATAGAATTAAATATATTTGTTATATAATTTTACAATATTTTACATATTTCCATAGTCCTACCTGCAATTCATAACGTAAACCTCAATCAATCTGGGAAGGATTTACAGTATTCTTAACCCCGTAAATGTTTGAAGTAGCCGTGGTTTACCATAGACAGTCCCCGGAAGGGATTCCAAACACCATCACCGGAGATCACCGGCGATGATCCTCTGTAATCACTCCTATAAGCCAAGGATGTCCATGTATATCCCCAAAGAAAGGTTGTACCTCGTTGGACACGAATAATTTTGTGCGTTTACATGTCGGCAAATATGTGCAAATGGCAACTTTATGGATTCTCAAACTCAAGACTCCGCTCTAGTGTCTTCAAAGAAGTTTCAAGATTCTTCGCGCTGCCAACATGGATCTCGAGCACCAGTTTGCAATAGACTTGTATCTGGTATTTCAATGGTGCCCTGAACCAAACGTGTACAAAGTTTCGGACCCGCATAAAGAAACATGTTAACTTTGCAATTTTGTATCTTGTATGTATACTTGATTTCAAACGATGGCAAATGTGTCTTCTTGTACCTGCACACCTATTTACACCTGTATGTATATCTCTATGCGTCTATACAAATACATTTGATGTATACATAATGTAGATAGTGTGCGTATATCTATATGTATATACACCACACAAAACTGTGTGTATGTGTATGTGTGTATGTGTGTATGTGTATATGATGTGTATGCATGGATGTATAAATGTATGGATGTATGTACAAATGATTACAAATGTATGGATATATGGACATATGGTTGAGAACATGTAAAACCGTAAACATGTAAGAATGTAAACTTGTCATGCAAGCATGTAAAAATGTAAACACGTCCAAAAAACAAACATGTTTAAAAAATGGTATGTATGGATGGTATGGTATGGTATGGTCTGGTATGGTATGGTATGGTATGGTATATGTAAGTATATATGTATGCATGCATGTCTGTACGCATGTATGTATGCATGTTATCATGTATGTTAAAGTGCTAAAGTAAAGTAAAGTCTACTATAGTAGTATCATATTGTATGTTCTTGTATGTTCTTGTATGTATGTCTGTATGTCTGTATGTCTGTAAGTATGTAAGTATGTAAGTATGTAAGTATGTAAGTATGTAAGTATGTAAGTATGTAAGTAAGTAAGTAAGTAAGTAAGTAAGTAAGTATGTATGAATGTATGTATGTATGTATGTATGTATGCGTGTGATATATATATATATATATTTGTTTAGATATATCTATGCATACACATTCGTGCACATTCATGTGCAAGTGCACGATTTCAAACTGAACTGGCCACATCAATCGATGCCACACCCTCTTGCGGGAGAATGAACCCATTATATTCCTGTGAAATGACTCTCGGGGTTTGCCTTCAAGATCCACACTTGCTTGGTATCCCCATATTTCTATCTTTCTCTATATTTTTCTCTATATCCAACTGTAGCTATCTCTGTCTACCTTCGTGTCGAACTATCTAGAATCTACATCTATCTATATCTAGCTATACCGTACTATACCTACATATCTACATACATCTATCTACATTCATCTAGATCCATCTGAGTCTGTATAGATCCATCTGAGTCTATGTAGATCTATCTAGATCTATCTAGATCCTTTTTTAATAATAGGTGTATCTATGTTTAAAATAATTTGAAAGTAATATGTATGTTCTATTGATATATATATATATATACAAGTACTTACAGACATGGAAACATCTATCTATGTACATATTATATATGTAAATAGCATCAGAAGCAGAAGCAAATCGATCTATCTATCTAACTATCTCTACATGTATAACATATATCATATATCATATATCTATCTAGCTATCTACCTCTCTCTCTCTGTCTCTCTGTCTCTCTATCTATCTATCCATCCATCCATCCATCCATCTATCCATCTATCTATCGCTCTCTCTCTCTCTCTCTATCTCTCTCTCTCTCTCTGTCTCTCTCTATCTGTCTCTATCTGTCTCTATCTCTCTCCATCTCTCTATCTCTCTATCTGTCTCCATCTCTCTCTATCTCTCTCTATATCTCACTATCTCTCTCTCTATATCTCACTATCTCTATCTATCTCTATCTATCTCTATCTAAATCTGCCTATCTCTGCCTATCTCTGCCTATCTCTGCCCATCTATCTATCTATCTGTCTATCTAACTATATGTCTGTCTATCTATCTATCTATCTATCTATCTATCGATTGATCTATCGATTGATCTATCGATTGATCTATCGATTGATCTATCGATTATCTATCGATCTGCCGATCTATCGATCTATCGATCTAATCCATCCATCCATCCATCCATCCATCCATCCATCCATATTTCCTATATATCCTATCCTTTCCTATCCTATCTACATGTACACTCACATACATATCAATTACATATTTGCTGCTTTCATGATCTCATCAACCCGTGGACTAGACTTGTCGCTGATTGGGCCACCTGCTCCAAGGCCAAGTTGGTGAGAACCTGAACTCATCGACGTTTCGATGGGAAAATATATGGGAAAACCCATCGATAAATGGTAGATCTTCCATTGCCATGGTTAATTGCCCGAGGGTAAAATCAATGTTTATACTGAGATCACACTTGTAGTACCTGCCATCCCATTGACAGTACTCTGGTAGGATGTTTAGTATATTCTCATTATAATTACACGACTCTTGTGGGAAAAACGATTAACCATATTGTAATATCATAAGTTATATCCATTGTGAAATGATACGAAATACTCACGTTGTTATGTTGACCTCGGCGCTCCGCATGATTCCACTCTCAATTGGTCGTCTCTGGGTCCAGAAAATGTCCATCATATTTGGCGGTACCAGGTCTGTTCCCCAAGGACCCAAAAAAAATGAACAATTCAGCGAAGGTGCACTACCAGCTGTGACTGATAGCTTCAAAGCTGTTGTGAACAGGCCAGACAGCACACCTGACACGGTGAAAGTCTTAAGTGACAGTACTTGTGAAAATTCGGGAGCCTTAAATGGATTCAAGTTTGTGGTTCGGAGCCTTCCAAAAACAAAACAAACCATAAATTTGGAGTTTATCATTTCAGCTAGAGATGTAGGGGTTTTCCAGCGTCTCAAGCTACTGGAAAACCCAACTAAACGGGACTGTATATCGGCCACCATCCTTTGGTGAAGCATTGGAATGCTCAAAGATGTCACACTTTGGTGAAGCATTCTCTCGATCGTGGTGTTACTATCTTTTAACTTGTCGCAATTCTTGGTGATCTTAGGTTCAACCGGTATGTGGCTACCAGATTAAGCCAGAAGCGTGGATGACCGAGCAAGCATGGGAATCAAAAATGTCAGACCTCTGGGAGGGGCTGGACCCCAAAACGAACCAAGGTGGCTCTACTAACGCCCTATGTTTGAATGGTGGTTGGAGCCCTAGGGTATATATATATATACATGTGCAAGCCGGGACCCTCCATGAATTTGGTGAGCCTCTCCCCGCAAAAAATCGCAAGGTTGAATGATGGACAGGAGAACATACAGGGAAACCGCTCTCCAGCCATTCAAGGCTTCAGTTGGCATAAGAGAAACCTTATTGCAATCGAATTGTGGGTCCACCAGTTTAAAGTCATCTAAGAAGAGTGGTATTGACACAGGAAAGAAACCGGAATCAAACATAAAACAGGCAAAGTAAAAGCCACTGTCTTGAGGGATGTGCTGAGACGTAGTTGCTGGAGCCGTAGATCCGTTTACAGCCGCTTCTGAAATTACATGGCTGTTACACAGAAGCAAAGATGCCTCAGTGCCACCGCCACCCTTGGAAAAGACAACTCAAGACACCGGGAACAATAATATATATATATATACAGTATCTATCTATCTATCTATCTAATCTAATCTCATCTAATCTATCTATCTAATCTATCTTGTCTATCTTATCTTTCCCATCTATCTTATCAATCCTTTTAATCTTATCAATCCTTTTAATCTTATCAATCTTATCTATCTTATCTATCTTATCTATCTTATCTATCTATCTATCTATCTATCTATCTATCTATCTATCTATCTATCTATCTATCTGGCTTTATCTTGTTTCGTGTTGCACCCCCAAAACTGACCCTCAACAAAAAGCGACTCACAACGGATTGGAATATGATATCATATCCCATAGGATCCATGTATGGTATATATGCTAACATTTGGGGTATATTGATGGTAAAATATGGCAAATGATACCATATATAGCATACATGGATCCTATGGGTATGATATTCCTACTCACAAACAACACACCGTCTGTTTAGTGCCATCTTCCCTTCCTTTTCAACGTTTTGAAACCGCTCCCCGACTCCCCGTCCTTCTCTTCTGCGACCAGTCCTTTCCTCATCTTCCTGGAGATCGAAGCTACGCACCAAAAACAGCGCTCATTCCACGTGATTCACATGTGCGGGTAGCATAATATTATATATATATAATAAATATATATATATATAAATAAATACATAAATAAATAAATACATAAATAAATAAATATATATACACACAAAATAATTATGTAGTGTCATATACACATATGTATGTAATTGTATGTAACAACTATGTATATACATAGTATCTTCTATTTATGTACTGTATGTGTTCTCGAGCTGTGTCGGTGCATTCTTCGCTGCAGCCTTGCTGAATTCATCGTGGCCACTGCTCTGGCCATGGCAACACGCATGGCGCATGGCATGCTCTGGCAGCTTGGGATGCTTGGGGTGCATTTGGGGGTTAGAAGGATGGGATTAAACGATTTTCAATATAATATGTATATAATATATTTGCTGGATAGATATGATTATAACATAATCATATTCACATACAAGGCATTCTGCGAACCCTCTGCATAAGGTCATCTAAGCAAACATTGATCACAACTTGCTGTTTCTCTATCTTCTACCACTTCTGACCGGGCCTCTGTGAAGCCTGAAAATAAGTCCAACCAGCAGCCCGTGCCTCGACTACATCCGGAAGCATGCTGATGGGAACCAAGTAAGGCACGGCCAATGGCATGCCGATGAGGATGCCTTCGGATGCTGGTGAGGATAGCACTTTGCGCAAATGTGTGCATTCCCCCCGCCATGGAACTAAAAGCAGTTTGCAAGGAACAGGGTCGGCTGACCCAAGGTTTTCAAGTCTTCTATGCTCGTGCCAATTCACCCTCAAATGTGCATGCGACTTGTTTCACAAATGAACTACTAAAAGAAAGAAATTGTTTGCAGAGCAGGAATTGCTCTGAACACATCTCATGTTTCTTCATCTTTCTCTTTCGAAAAAGACGCAACATGAGACGCACAGATCCCAAAGTAGTACCATCAATATAGATTCTTCATCAAAACATCCGCATGGCCAGGAATTGCACCCAGAAATCATCCATTTCTCACACAATCTGAGGATTTATGAATATAGTCATACTGTATATATATATAATATAATATAATAATTATACGTATATATATATACACTTATTCAACCCCAATTTATTACAATTTATGGCAACTCTCGATGATGAACCTATTTCAACCTTGCGATTTTTGGGGTAAAATCCATCGTTTTCACTCAACACTTCTGGCAACGCGGCCTAAAAGAATGGCAGCTTCAGTGGAGTTGACGAAGTTCAAGGCGGCCATGGACATAGCTAAGAGGCTGCCGCCTTTTTGGGCTGTGACATGCTGAGACATCTCAGTTTCTTGGGGTGGCTGTGTGGAATGACTCAATGACCATGAAACCATGGCGAAGATCCTGCTTTTATGGCCATGACCTAATGGAACTTGTTTTCCTTTCTCTTTGCGCAAGCATTTGAGACATGAAAGGTCTTCGAAATGGCCTGAACCAGTGATGGGCTCAACAAAAAACATTATCACATAATATCACATATCATCACATGATATAACTTGAAGCAGGGTCATTGTAAGCTTCCGGCCAATCAGGTAGATGTGTCTTTTGCTGGTCTTGTTTGCGATGAAAACCCACACTGGGATCATGAGTAGTGCGGTTCCTGCATGTGGCGTGCAGCTGGGTTTCTTCGTTGAAGAGCCATGAGGTTGCGACAGGAGCCCTAGTTCCTGTATCGTTATCAACTTCTAAGATATTTCAACATCTCAGAGTCATTGTCCTTTGAACTTCTTGGCTTCAGCAGGATTCAACCCATCCTGTGACTATGCACGTGTTACTGGTCTCGCTGCTTAAGCCTGTCCTTGCACAATAGGCACAAGCAGCATCAGGATGCTCTCATCCATCAGAGCATATTTGCAGAAAAGTGCGATGTTCGTCTGAGTTAGCCTGGTGAAGTCCCGGAAACAAGCCATCAACCATGGTTCCAATCAACCAGGACGGTGCAGTTTTACCATGCAACCATGTGCAACCCCCATGCCACAATGCCCACATGCTGCCAGGCAACGTGACTGCTGTAGGCCCTGCAAGATACATCAAGGTCACATAGCAAAAGGATGTGCTTCCAACTGAGCACTTACTGTCTTTGACTGCCTTGCAAGGTGCAACGATTCAATGACAACCAGCATTCTGTGGTCTAACAGGCCAGCACTATTATTGATATGATCCCTGAGCTTACCCTAGGCTTAATCTCCATGATCGGCAAATAAATATGTATATAATATATATATAGTGTATTATATAGTACACATATTCAAAGACAGTACCACTTACAAGGGACCGTACGCCACAAACTGTTCACTACTCTGGGGCATCATTACATGGAATAGTATTCCCACCGAAAGACGCCGCCCCGGTAGCCAGATGAAGGTCATATGAGTAGCCGACAAAATTATATGTTAAATCCAATGCTGTGCACAAATTAGGGTCGTCCCCCTGTCGGTTATGAAGGTTTTGTGCAACTTCGGAAAGGCCAAGGCAAAGCAAGACTAAATTAGTATATATATATATACGTCTATATTACAGTAATTTTCTCGGTTATTCATATGGTGGGAGCGAAAGGAGATGTCAAGGCACCAACGATTGCTGAAGCCTCACGATGGTTGGGGTACTCCCCAGATTTGTCAGGTCCCCAGTATCCCAACGAGTCCCAACGATCATCCATCTGCTTTCCCAGTGTCTTACGGTGAGGAGCAGTTCAGTGAGGATGCCAGGGGAAGGCATTGGATTTGCAGGAGGGACGTATCTCTCCTGCCATTTGGGCCTTTTCCCAACAGGATGGGCCGTGTACCTACCTTAAATCGATTTCGTTGTATTCATTCACTTGCCCTAGATATTTACATGATTAACACATGGTGAGATTAGCACCAAAAACAGGATGCAACCCACCAAAATGGGGAGACACCAATTCTTATCATAGAGGTACAGGTTTGCAGAATGGACTTTCTTGGGTTGGGGGCACTCTAATTATTTGAAGATCCTTAGCTGAAGCACGATTCTGGCCAACGTTAAGCCAGTTCATTGCACAAGTTTGAAGCCCCCAAAGATTGGAGCCAAATTGGTTAAGCCGCTTTGTAAGCCGGTAAGCCCACAAAAGGTGGTTTGGGACTTTGGTCAAGATCGCCAATCCCTGAAATCTGCAGCCTGAATGGTATCTGGTCGGTGCAACTCGACAAATATGAGCCAATTTGGGTTATCATCCCAAGGATGGTACGAAACTATTTCAATCCAGCACCTGATGCATGTCGGAGCATACAACTTCAATACTGCCTGACCTTGATGCCACAGAAGACGGTCCAGCTAAAGATCAGAATGGCAGCAGAACAAACGGCAGCACTCTGCATAAAGGAGCCTGGGCTACAACGTCCAACAACATCAACAATCCACATGAAGCCAATTTCCCGATCATATCAAGTACCCCCCCTGAAATGGGCCCAAAATGAACGAATTCAATACTAGACTAAGCGTTATACGGGGGTGTTAAATACTAGAGGGATGGAAAGACACCAACCAAATCATGAAGTTCCCAAATGGCATCTGTAAATGAAACCGCTCCCAGGTGCCAACGGTTGCACCCAAGGAATTCAGATATATGGAAGTGGGTTTCCCGTTGTCGAAACCATCACTCACATTGCATGGTGAATGCCCTAGATACCCCTTTAAAACATTGATTTTCAGTGGAATAATAGCATCCATGTGCATCCATTGGTATTGATTTGTATCTTTAATATTGTAGTCCGGCACCATCGATTTCATCATGGCAAACAAGAATCAAGTTGCTGTTTGTTGGTTGGAATATTTGCAGCTGGTAGGTTGTCATGTTATTTGGCTGAATTGTAATAATTCACCGACCTGAAACTAGCTCAAAGTTGCGGCCATTTGGGGGATGATTCTTCTATACATTCACCATCATTCCGGTGACATCTTGATGAGGTCATTATAGATTGAGTTGACCCAGCGAGCAGTGATGGGCGTTTTTACTGGGGCATACCCAGGGTACATTGAAGTTAAGTGGGGAGTGATGCCATATTAGAATCACATTCAATCCCATTGATCAGTAAGGGCCCCTGAGCCCCTTCAACACATGTTGACTTGGGAATCCTCGGAACTGCCAAAACCCCAAACCCCAACCAAGGTTTTCCCTACTGAAGTATTCGAAGCAATGACTTAGGCACACCGGCAGACCATCATCAGGGTTTCAACAACGTCAAAAACGAGGGCAAGATTTGACCGACTGATTTCCAGTCGATGGGCACATCGGCATAACATGGCATAACCACTTCTGGGAGTACTGATCTGGATAATTCCCGTAGATCTGAAACAGAGAAACCATGAGAAACCTCAATCTCAGGCCACCAAAATCATGGTTTCATCAAAATTGTTTCATGAATAAACATATAGTATAGTAGTATAGCATATACAGATATAGAGATGCATTTCCGCAGACCCTAGCCGACAGCAGGGGCTGCTCAGATACAAGACAGAAGGGATGGAATACGAAACCGGGAATAAATGGACAAAAGTAAGGTTTGCGAAGAAAACAAAATAAAATGACAAAAATATACAAAAGTAATTAAAGTTTCGGACCGGAGAACAAAATACAAGAAAAAGGGGCAGAAAACAAAACTGGGAATCAAAGGACAGAAGCATCATGTTTATAGAGCTCAGCCACTATGAAATACAGACCCCGTCATTTCCTTTGTGAAGCGGCAGCCCCCCTTCACTATTAAAAAAAATGTCTCACGCGTTCACAAATTAGTAAGATTATATGATATGTGTCTTTTGACCTAAACCGCAAGGCGGATCATATGGGATACGATACATTCAAAATATAGCCCAATCATTTTTAGTAAACCCAACGCCATAAATTCCCTTTTTAAATATGTTCTTTCGTAGTGGGAAATGGGGGTATTGCCCATGTTTGTTTCTACCTTGAACTATCCCCAAATCGACTACCTGTAAGGGTCACCACACGGATGATAAGCTTTTTTTTTAATGGGCCCCCTCGGATCCAAACAATCACCTTCACTCTCCGTTGGCATCCTGTGCAATTGGAGAACCCATAATATTTACCACATTTTAAGTGGCATGCGCATCCAAGGGCATTATGGGATTTGTCCTTAGGATATCCCAAGTTTTCCTTGGCATTTCAAGGCCCTGTAGCTTGGATGGTGGGCGGTCCCCACGATGAAGGCATGTATCATTGCAAAGGCGAGGCCGATGACGTTCACGCCCACCACGGTAAAACCGGAGGCGTTCATTCCTAAACATGGGGACAAGAATGTTTTTAGAGGTTTTATCAGAACTTCCAATATTTTGGTAGGCACACACCTCCACGTTTTGATGGTTGTGAAATCAAGTGGCACTGGCACGTATAGTTTTCGGGATGCACGTGTTGCACTACTGAGTTGTCGGGATCCTTCAGAAACTACTGAAGTTGCGACATGGTTGAATCAATGGACGGTTTTGCACACTGTTTAAGTCTAAGTCCAAACCATATGCAAAAAAATCTAAGGACACACACAAAAAATATACAACGTATTAGTATATCTAAAAACATAACAAAACTCAATGCCATCAATAACAAAACTCAATGCTATCAATAAGATATATATACCACGTAATTATGTGTACAATATATGATGTGGATAATTCTAAAGTCTTTAAACTTGTTAAACGTATTGCATATTCATATACATCTTCTTCGGATTCGCGAAGATGGCAGTTGGATGTCTCCTGTTAGCGCCAAGTCTTGGAAACGATGCAAACAAAAAAAAACTTATTCAACCTTAGCAGTCAAATTATGTATATGTGACTAGACAACAGTATGGCCCGAAAGGAAGGCACAACACAAACATCATGGTTCCTTCCAAAACAAATCACAAATATAGAAAAAATGGTGATAATGATGATAATGATGATAAATATGATAAATATGATAGTGATGGTGATGGTGATGGTGATGATGATGATGATGATGATGATGATGAGCTGGAGGTGGTGATTGCGATTACCATAACAATGACGATGGCAATGTATACTGGCAGTATTGTCAGCAGCTTTTTGCACCCCTTCGCAGGTGCTTTGGGGGCGAACAAACATGAATCAAACCGTTGACCCACGATTCACCAGCCAGCTTCCCCAGTCTCAAGGACAAGGATCTTTCATTGTAGTCCCTGGTAAGTTCGGGTAGCAGTGCCGTAATCTGCACCCGCACTGAAGTAAGACCCACGGACACCGACATGAAGGCCGTAGTGTAGTACAGCCTGAGGACCATCACCCAAAGTTATGCTGGATTCACATGGCGAGCAGAGTTGATCTATTATGGTTTCCACTCATTTCCAAACTAGTAGCTATAGGTAGCTAGCTGACGAGTGTCGTACGTCACGGCTAGGGAAGGAAATACACAATGTTTGAAATTGCCGTTCGATCCAGCTACAGTTCAAGACCTGAAGAAAAAACACAGTCGTTTGAGTGATAATTCATGATTATCATTTTCTATAAAGGAATTGCAGTTGATTTGGGGTAGATTGCAGTTGATTTGGGGTAGGCTCTGCTTAGCTTGATTAGAATGAACTTGGGCCAGAACCATGATGAAATCACATACCCAGGCTTCAACTATATCATGTAAATTATTTAATCCATCTTCATCTTAACCCACTATAACCGCACAGAGGGCTTCCGCAACTGCCACTGCCACTGCCACTGGCTGGCGGCAACCTCCACTTCACCAAAGAGCCTGACAGGTGGGGAAAAGGGCAGGGTTCTTGGATGAATCAGCTCAGTTGGTTGTTTAGCTATGGTTTAGCTTTATAGTTTTCAATTGCTTCAATTTGATAACCTATCTTATTATATGGTCCACCAATCGAGTTGAACAATTGGTTATCCATAAATTGCATGCCCAGCTTCAGGTCAGAATTATCCATGATATTGCAGCATATGATTTTCAATGCGCTGTGGCTAATAAATACCATGTTATTATGATGAGCATCTTGAATGCACCAGACTCGGCAACAACATCTTGTTGGCAGCGTCATCTCAAGGCATGCACCCCCAGGATGCTCGAAACTGAAGATCATCCAGCTTCCATTGTTCTGGTCACTTGTGAGGGAAGCGGGCTGCAGGTGCTTGGTCACCTGCACAGTTTGCCAAATTGTTGATCCTATCCAGCATTTTCCTTAAGCGGTTCAAGTCCACCAAGATGAGCTTTGTAACTGACTCAGGGGCCATGTTCCCATGGAGATCGTTTTGGGTTTCTGTTAAGAACAGCCACCCTCAATGTGCACACAGGTCTGCAAAAGGCCTTGTGCCCATCTTCGTTCACGAGGTCAGCGAATGCAGTGGGATGCCAGTGGCAGCTGAACTAACTACTAAATCCTACTAGTCTTAGTAAGTGATACCTAATCGAAATTGAATATGGCAGAATGATGGATTACTATTATACCACTGTATGATATGAACAAGATCATTTAGCTTAGTTCCACATAAGTAAACGATATTCCAATAATGGGAAGCTCACTACGCTCCTTTTTAGGCCCACATGATGATCATGCTCAAATTTGATCCCTGAAATGGATGTCGTCCCTTTTTGCTTCTTGTTAATCCCATCCAAATTCCTTTCACATTAGTTAGTCTAATATGCTTTCATGAAATGGATATCATCAACAGTAATAGGTTGCATAATATAGATCCATTTCATATGTAGATAATAACATGGGCCAACATCATATGTCTTAAACTCAAGTATCAAATATCATCAAGCCCCTCATGGTGGATGGTACAATTACAATGTTGTGCAGTTGCAGGATGCAACGTTTTGATAATATTTCCACAAATATGACACTATGAAATAGTCATTGATTTGCAGTTTATATCTTAGTTATGAATTCCCAAACCCAAAATAATATAGTCTATGGCACCGGACATCAATCATCATATCAGGGGAGTAAATCCTTTTAGTACTGTGCTTGCAGAATTCAAACAACACAGGAATTGATGATATCTTATAGTTTGGCAGACTTATTACATCAAACTATATGATGTTATCCAAATCTTATTTTAATATCCACATTTATCTGGTTTTAATTTATTACTGGTTTATTTTGGTTTACTTAGTAATTGATCCGCTGTAAACAACTTATTCATGCCACATAGTAATTGGGTGATATCAGCTTTATGCCATCTGCTGAAGCCCACACACCAGTTCCAGGTCCAATCAAGGCCTCTCCAATCCAACATGCCTTTTGAAAACCTCAAGGGAACTTGCGACTGGCATTTGTGTAGTCAGTCACCCATGGTGCTGGATTTGCCCCCTGATGATGATGGGCCTATCATTGACATGGACTGGAAATCTCTATCTATGGCTCCCGATGTTGATTTGGGGGACTCAATGACACCTGCTCGAAAGACCCAGCGATTGCCTAGCTTGGAGTGCCCCAACTGGATGAAGTAATATGTTCTTTGGTTGATGTTTTTGGGGGTTGACAGGATGGATTTTATTTCATGAATTTGGTTTCACCCAATGGTCACCCAAATCACATTTAGGACACCGCCCGAGAAGCCACCATATTGCTGCAAGAAGGGCTGTGCATCGAAGTACCAGCTTGGTGATTCCAGGATGAGATGTCTCAAAGAGCCACAGTTGCATTTGTTTTACATTCTCAGTTGCCATCAATATTTTACTTTCAATGTTGTATCCAATACCCATGGGGGAGAAAACTAATCCTTTGAAGCCTAGAAATTACTTCTGAGGACATCCGCCATAGCATGAGCTCAATGACCGGCCATGACTTGAACCAATTTCTGCTTGGCAAACTTGGGAAATTGGACAAGTTGATTCCTGATGAAGCTCTGGATCCTGTACCTTGTCCAAAAATATGGTTGTTCATTAGTCATACATGGCCCTGTGCAATCGAATAATGTATGGCTCAAACCATTATCAACCATGGACCTAGAATACTTAGCCTTTTTATTTGGTGCACAAACTTGGTAAGGGGGATAGGTCCTTGCGCTGCCCAGGCTTCCAAGACTTCATGCTCCAAACCCGTGCTGAAGTATGACATTGGTGGCTTTGAAGTTTGCGAAAAGGCATGGTGCATTCTCATGGGTGTCAATGAGAAAAGGGACCCTTTGGCTGAACTTCCAGAATAGACTGCCAACAAAGTTAAATGGTTTTCAATTTTATGTTTGTTTGTTGTGCACTGTGTGGCACATTCCATTTTTTGTGCCTTGAGCTGTGTAATTTCGCAATGTCATGTCGATCATACATCTTAGGATCTTAGGGTGAATAGTTTCTTGTGTATGCATCTATGTGTTCATATGGGTATACCCATTATATATGTATATGATGTAGATGTACTTGAAACAAATAGTGGTGATACCTGCAAAATATATACCTGACCTAAAGGGTATTTCATATATGGCATAGAACATGGATGTAATGTCTCTCCATGGGCACAACAAGGTCAGGCGATTGGCCATTGGAATGTCTACCAATTCCCTGCCCACTGACATGCGGAAGTACAATGGCAAGCAGCCCACCACAAAGAGTTCCAGTGTGGATGGGTTCATGACTTATGTCTACTGGAACCTGGTACCTCATCCCAAGGAGTACACTTTTGATAACAAACCCCATGTGGTATTTGGGAGTCAAAGGGCAAACCTTGTTTTTAGTATATAAACACTTTTTCATTGTTGTTTATGGATAACATTCATTTTGATTTTTCCCAATAAACAGCCTTCCAAGGCTGAATCTTTGGCAGAGACACCTCCCATTGAAGAGATCAGTGGTGCTGCGTTGGCCACTTCTGGCCTTTTTGTCCCTAGCCCTTTGGATGGATTAAAACATGCTGCCTTTTGTTTCTTTTCAGGTGTCTTGAATCTCATTTACCCATCAACCTACAGAATGATATGACATATGTTGATCTTATATATATATACCTATCAACCCATACATCCATTGGTATACCTTGAGTTTATCCCATCATGTCCCATACCTTGCCAAGGTGCTGTGGAGTCAGATCTTCCATCAACTCTCCTTGGTGGCAAGGTGGCGTTCAATGCCCGGAGCTTGTCCCAGAATGACCCAGTAGCTGCAACAGAACTCATGGGTGGGAAACCTGAAGATTGAATCTAGGCTGATCAATGTCAAGGTTTTTCTGATTTATTTGGGTGGTAATTAATATGTTGGTAGTTGGCCATTAAGGGATATATGCTGTATGAGGTGGTAAAAACTTATTGATCAAATAACGAGACCTTTCCAGGTGGCTTGCAACCTCGCCACCTCCAACACATGAGCATGGAAGCTTTCTATGACCTCTACAAGTTATGGTGCAATGGGAATGGTTCTGAGGAAGGTGAAGTTGCCAAAAATCGTTGCTTCGCTCAGGTTTATGAGGAAAGGTGGAAACATCTGATTCAATTTCGTGAGACTTCCCAGCATGCAAGGTATCCTGATCATCCTTAGTAATTTGTCATCTTATTTACTTTCTTCTCATTTGATGTTGAAAAACCTCATTCTGATGGCAGGAATAATCATGTCTTATTATCCTTATATGGTCCCACCATGAGGTGTACTCAATGCAGTGAGTTTGCAACCCGCAGTCGGAAGTGCACCCTTCAACATGAACGGGACCAGTTGGAACAAGCCCAGGGCCTTCACATCAAGAATGTGAGAATGTACCGACAGACCCAGGCCCGCTTGAACACACTTAGTGAGCAATGTACTCTTGGGCAGGGAGCTAGCACATGTGTCATCAAGCTGGACATCGATGGTTTGGACCAGTCAAAGACGAGGTATCCCAGGCTCAATTCCATCAACCCCAAATCTCTGGCTGGGGCATGGAGACCGCAAATCCATGTGTTGGGTTGCATAGTGTGGGGGGCAGCTTGACACAATTGATGATGGTTCTATTTTTGGCAATCCCCAATTAGGAGACTAAATTAGTAATGGGATCTGTATTTGGGGCCCTGCGTTGAACATGTCATTAAGGTAGTGGAAAGCTACTTTGTCTTGGAGCCCGATGTTCCCAAAGACTCGTCGACGGAAGTTAGCTGTATCTTGAGGGCCCTGGATCAGGCCCGGGAGATCCTGGAATCTCGTGGTGTGGCAATGCCAGAACATCTGATCATAGAGGTTGGTGGGTTCAAAAACATGATATAGTTGGAAGCATTATGTGGGAATTGCAAATAATAAGTTATAATGAGTTTATTGTTATATTATTATCTGTTGGTGATCTTTTTGAACCACAATATTAACCAAAGAAATCACCAAAGGGATCCTGTAAGATTTATTAGTGTGAATCTTTGTGGGTGTTCTCTCCCAGCAACCCTGCAGACAGACAACTGTGTGAGGGAAGGAAAGAACCAGGTGGTAGCAAAAACATCAGCTTCAGCTATCATAAGCAACCGGTACCTTATCTTTATTTGCAGTTTCAATTTTTTACTTTGAGCTGGCTTGTTATTCCCCATTATTACTTCCCATGAATATTTGGCATATACCACCAGACTAAAACAATGTTTATATTCATCCTGATGCTTTGCAATATTAGCCATGTTTCTTGCCGAGGTTCCGAAGTGTCACCCACATTTTTGGAGAGGTGGGTCACACCCATGGGCCAGTTGACCAACGGCTCAGTATTTGCACCTCAGCATTTGGGTCTGCAGACATCATCCAGACGCCCAAGGATGGTGATAGGAACAAATGATGGGTCTTTTATGGTTTATCATATTTTCAAACTGTCCAATGACAATCAATTTTACCACAAATAAGGTAAGTTGGACCATGCTATACATCTGATCATTGCAGCATCCAACTTTGAACTTTGATTGATTATGGTAACCCTGTAGGATTTTGTCCAGATCATCCTTGAGAAGGTCAAACCATCCCGGAATCGTGAGTTGCGAGCGGAGCTGTTGACTGGTAGCTTGAACTGGAAGGAATACTACCAGCAGTATGATATCTACATGAGTGGACTGGTCCCCAGACCAAACTCTGGCATGAGTGTCAACCACTGTTGGAGGTTCATCCGCCGTTCTGACACCACAGCTTAGCCCAGAATATTTTTCTATTATAGTTTATTGGTGCCTAAGTTTTAATCCCCTTCTAGCTGGGACACCATGAAATTATTGATATGTACCACCTGCTTGTGGCTCAGGACCTGCCCCTCTATGATGACAAGACTGGAGATTCATGGGCACCAATGGAGATCCCTGGTGATCCTGGGTTTATGTGTAGTCTATGGTTTTGATAGTCCATAGTTTATGTGTAGTCCTGGATATGAACAGGCTCTAATCAATATGCTGGTTCAAAAATTAAAAGCCACAAATTGCTGCTAATGATGAATTGAAATCTTCTCATGATTGCTATTATTTTTTGGGTTTTCAATCCCATGGATTCCAATGAGGAAGATTATCCACATGATGGAGCAGATTGCATCCTGCTACTGAAGCACCTTGTGAACTCAGAGAGCCTGTCACAGCAACCATTGACCCTCCTTCCATCAAGTTTTGCTGCGAAGTTGGTCAAACCTTTGGTGTCGCTCCCCCGAAATCTCCTATCTGATCGAGCCCAGAAGGAGTTACATGGCTATATCATCAAAGGTGTTGGTGTTGCAATCTAGTTATAGATAGCTTTCTGTCTACATAACTCCATACCTGTAGTACCATTCCATGGCCTTTGCTCAGGTTCTTGAAGACAGCGGAGCTAGTGGAAAAAGATCCATGGCAACTGGTCAAAGCAGCTGCATGTTTGAGAGAATGGGTGGAGTCCAGGTTTACATTTAGCATTTTTCAATCAAACTTATTATTATGTAACTGTTTTTAAATTTCCCCAACTATAGGGGTCTCTGAATCCATGTATATCCAAGGATGCGAATGTCAAGCAACAATGGCCATCCATCAATGCACCTCTTTGGTGGTTCTCATCTGATGCCAGGGCATTGTGCTTGGTCCCCAACCCTGAAGGGTACCTTGGATTGGTTTATATGATGATTTTTGATCTTCCCCAAGGATTTTGTTAATATAATAAGGCAGGTCACTAAATGAGTAACTCCCCCATCTTATCTTTATTCCAATACACTGCTCATCCATTAAACCATTTTGGAATTGATACCTATTATGTTTGGGCCATTTGATTTCATCCATCTTTAGGTGGGAACGTTTTGCTCCTGGGCCAGTGCAAGCAGTTGCAGTTGCCCCAGAAAAGAAACCCAAGTTGGATGAAGCTGGCAACCCTATCAAGAAGAGGAGAGGACGCCAACTTAAAGATCCCAATGCCGCCCCAAAGAAGGGAGGCAGACCACCCAAGAATCCTCCACCACAGCCAAGTGACCTTGCACCAGGTGACGTCTTTGCTGACCAGTCTGAAGTTGTCAGCCTTGCGATGCCACCTCAGGAGCCCGAGCCAATGGCCATTGATTCTGAGGCTGCCCCTTCACCCCCATCAAGGGCCACCTTTGCTGGGAGAACCCGACTTGGTTCCGAGGAATTCCAAACACAGTGGGATACCAGGAGGGACATGTATTACAAGATGGTGCCCACAGAATTTTGGAAAGATCCTCTTGAACGTCAGTTCTGGTCCATGTGTACCTCCATTGGTGATATCCATGAGGCCATGAAGAAGTTCCTTGAGAAGATGGGTGTGTCCAAGCAACCAGCTCCATCTCCCAAAGCTGCTGCCAAGGCGCATGCGAAGGCCAAAGCAAGTCAGAAGAAGCCTGCTGCAGCAAAGGTTCCTGGTCGTGGCCGAGCACGAGGAAGGACTGGACGTGGCAAGAAGGTGGCATGCAGGTAGCTGAAACACCCCATGGGGATTCTTAACATTTAGCGAAGTCTCAATGTTTGGGTGTGAAAGGTGATACCATCTTTCATCGTTCTTTGTTTGGATTCCTTACCAAAAGGATATCCACCATCATGTTAGCCAACTTGGGGAAAGACCTCATCACCACCATGCTGCTGGGGATAGCTCACTCGCAGGCTGCAGCTTGGGAAAAACATTGCGTTTGTCAATAGTGTGCACTCAGAAACTTTGTTCCATTGATCAAATCATTCATGATTGTAATCATGACTTGACAAAAAATGTGATCAATCAATGAGCTATTGAACTATCATACTGTGATTCATGCTCCCCTGCCATTGGGGTTGGTCTGCAGCATTCCAACTTGACTCCAAAAGGTTTCACTTGCTCAAGGTCAATTCACACGGCATCGAATCAGCAATGAATGGTTGTAGTGCTCATTTCCTGCACTACAGTCAAGAGACATTGATAACTTGCAGCCAGCTATCATATCAAATAAACTTGGAATTCAGAACCACATATTGTTTTTAATGCTTGGTACTCAATAGATTTTTTTGTGTAGCTCTGATGTCGCTTGCTTTGCCTGATGATGATGACTGTGGGCCTGTGATTTCGTCACCTCCCCAGTCCAAAGGCCGAAAAGCAAGCAGGCCTCGTGGAAGATCCAGGTCCAGCTCCAAGGTGCAGCGTTCAAGTGCCTCAAGTCGGGGTGTCAGTGCTGGTGGCTTACCATCGGATGATGAGGGGCCAGATGCTTCCATTTGGCAAACTGGGATCCCGTTGGGTGATACAACCTCTGATTATGTGGCCCAATATGATGACAAATCTTTGAAACTGGCTGCTCAGAGAATCCCAAGCCAGATTCAGCATCCATTCGATGATTTGAGAAAGTCTATGGCGAACCTGCAGCCTGTGAGTGATCCAGACCTAGTGGATACTGTTTGGGAGGTGTTCTCACTACCCCGTCTCCAAGAAACTGTGATTAGCATGGGTGGTTCCTGCCGAAGATCCTATGATATTCGTCATTTCTGGGATCTTGGTGCGCACAAGCTACAAAGAACAATCTTTCAGGACATATGTGCACTGCAGCCTCTTGCATTGTTTCTGAGCCCACCTTGCAGATTTGTATGTGCACTTTAGCATTCAAACTGGGGCCGGATGAAAACAACCAAGAGGGTGATTAGCCTCAAAGAAGCTTGTGAACTGATAGATTTCGCTATGTGGCTTGCGGAGCACCAAGAACTAAGTGGCAAAATATTTGGCTTCGAACACCCCTGGCTAAGTCTGGCATGGGGCCGAGATAGTGTAGCTTAGCTATAATTTCAGATGCAACCCTTTTGACAAATGTTATTATTTGTTTTCTTATTATCATTCTAGTGAGAAGCATTATGATGAATAATGAATGTCAAATTACCATCAACACATCATATACTTCCTCCCCACTGCTGAGGTACGTCATGTACAACGCCACCCAGCTGTCAAGATTGCAGAGTTCGACCAATGTGTCTTTGGCCTGCGTTCCATTAAGACCAAGACACCAATCAAGAAACGTACCCGGGTTCTCACCAATTCTGATCATTTATGGAAGGCCCTGAATGGCAAATACTGTGCAGGGGATCATGCCCATCAAGTGATCTCCGGTTCTGAGGGTGGGCAGAAGAGGTCTGTAGCAGCACAAGTCTATCCAGACCCCCTGATCCAAGCAATTAGCAAGGCACTGATCCAGGAGGAGCGTGACAGGAGCTAGGTCTCCTTCAGCTCAAATGCAGGTTGTGCCTCGGACAGCGCATGGGACATTGAGCAAAATGATGTGGAAAAATAATCATGTTTTTTACTTGACATTTGATTTGGGGTGGAAAGATCGACTGGTTTCATCCGAAACCGGTAGATATCGGCCTGTTCTTGAAATCACTCTGCAGGGTCCCTTATCCCAAATCAAATGGCTCGAAGAAAAGTTGATTTTTTCAGCAGAACCTCACCTTGCAAATTTTCATGCTGAGAATCAGCTGGTTTCGATTGAGATCTGGAGAACTTCCTAGGGATACAGCAGGTCCAGCAGAAGTCTGATGTACAAAATCTAACATCCAACTTCTGCAGGCCCCCCCCAAAACATTGAAAGTTAGCAGGGTTTCAATTGAAACCGGTTGATCTCAAAGTCTCAAAATCAAAGCTTGACTTCTGCTGGCCATGCCATGTTTTGAAATTTTCAATAGGGTTTTGGATCAAGTGCTAGTCTTGCTTGAAAGCATGGAGGATACTCTCATGGACGAAGAATCTTTGGACATGCTTCAACATATGATTTTATTTATTTTGATATTTCTGAATTATTTTTGGTGTCCTGACCAAATTCTATTCCTTCATAAATCCCTCATATTAGATTCATTAGACTGATACTAAGGACCATGACCTCTGGTGTGTGCCCTCACCGGGTTTGCAGTCTCCTGTGCCCAGCCCTGGGCCTTAACTGAATATAGGAAATGGTGATCACATATCAAAACCAATCCACATATATAAAGTAAGTATTAATAGGCTATGATGAGAAACAATGAAAAATATCCCAATCTTCCTGGCTCAGGATAAGGAGGATGACTATTCACCTTCAGTGCTTCGTGTCAAGACTCCGCAGGAAGACCAGAAGACTCTGTCTCTGACCTCAGCTAGTGCTGGCCATGGTGGTGAGACCGGTGATGGTGGGTCAACAATGGGGACATCAACAGCCTTGGATATGCAGGCTACCACTGATGAGATGCTGCTTGACAAAATTGTGCATATGGTGAAGAGTACCCTGATGGCTTATTAGCTCTATGATTATCTCTTTTATGATTGAATTCATTATTTTTCAACTTTTACAATGACCCTAATATCCTCATTTTGCAGTTCATGGTGGCCAAGAACAATCAATTAATCCATTCCTCCTAGGTGCTGGTGGGCCCAGACAGCTGATCCACAAGACCTTCCCTATTGCATCTTCTCGCCCCCAGCAGATTGCAGACCTTCTCAAGACTGCTGTGCCACTAGAACCGTCTCAGTCCTATCTGGATCACTTCCCAGTCCCTGCTTGCTTTAAAGGCACCTTGCTAGCAATGGGCATGTGGTCGTTCAACAAAATGTATTTTTCCCATATGTGTTTGTTTACTGTGTTTATGGTATATAATTCATTCCAAAGATACTCATTGTAGTGCTAATGGATCTTCAAACAAATTGTGTCCACACTTCCAGGACAAGAAGACCAACAAAAAGCATTCACAGTCCCGATCCACCTCTTCAGTGTGGAAAATTGGAGCTCATTGCGGGAGCCTCCTTCTTTGGATGTAACTACGAAGCTATTGTACCAGTTTGCCTGTGACTCCTTCGTGTCCTCTGACGACCCAGTGATGATCCGTTTGAAGGAAATGGGGTAATCCAAAGATTGGTTATATATTATTTTCTCTGGATATCCATGTAATAGCCAACAATGATGATAAGTATTGCTAATTATGCCCAGTGATAATCCTTGAGTTCTTTAACCCTTGGTTTTTCACCCCGATGCCACTGGCCCTTATTTGCAGGACAGCTGCATTGGCCAAGCTGGCCCAATCCCAGATGCTTCCATCGGCTACCTGAAAGGTGCTGCGAGGTTGACAACAGCTATTGCAGCTGTGGTGTGCTGCAAGCATCACTTGGGTGTGGAGGTTCGGTCCAACCTGGTTGAAGGTAAAACCATGTGAAATCTCCTCTCAAACATGTCATCTTGAAAATTGTTAGTCTTAGTTTTCAATGTAATTATTTTGCAAGTGATCATTAATTTAATCGATAGTAAATGTTCAATTTTTCCTTGGCACTTGCTCCAAACAGGTTCCACCGAACTTTCTCCATGGGCTGCAGTCGATCAAATGCAAACATGTTCGGTTACAGACTCGGCAGGAAGAATTGCCCCACCTCTTAGCATTAGCATGTTTTATTGTGGTGGTTGGGTTATAAACCTAGATATGATGTAAAACAAATACAAAAGTCTTTGGTAACTATTATTAGTGATGGTGATTCTTGGATTATCTCAGGTTCTTCATGAAGAAGTCCCAGCGTGGTTCAATCCGAAAGGCTCCATCTGCTATCTCATGGGTGGTGTCGTTGACCAACATGGCAAGTTCCATGAAGAATGTGGACATGCAAGCTGTCATCAAACAATGGATTCTTGGTAAAAGAATAGTCAATATGGTTGGTTTACTTCATGACCAGAACCCAGTGTGTAGTAATTACTTGTCACCTTGATTGTCTTTTGATGACTATCAGAATTTAAGGGTGGGATCATATTTGGAAATCTAGGAACAATGAAGCTGCCCGCACTGATAAGCTGGTGGGTGCCAAGCACCAGTCAGTTACAAACCTGCTCCAAATGCCAGAACATTGCAGAGATTGCGTCCTTGATTGCGTATCCCATTTTGGATGGGAGGGTTCCTGGGTCCTAGAAATCAGTCAACAGTAACTAATAAGTTGTTACAACCTTTTTTTTTGGGTACTTCCGCCCTCCAAACTTGTTGCAGCCTATCATATATAATTAATGGCTTATGGTCTTCAAACTGTTCACTCACCAGAATGACTCAGTAAGGTTGCCCGTTCAGTGATGACAATTTGCAGAGCAAGAAGCTTTTGGAGGGTTACAACCACAAGAGTGCCAGGACCACCAAGGGTAGCCCATGGCAGAACCGATTGAAAAATAGTGCTGAAAGCTGCCTCTTGACATTTCAAATGGTAGCCAGCCAGTGGAAGAAATTGAAGCCAGATGAACGCAAGAAACCACTCAACCGGTCCCAGCTGGAAGAGAAATCTGCAGTTTGTGCTCTGGCATGTTACTTGACCATACCATTTACAAATCATTATTAGTGTTTTGTCCTTCTTTTGATTATGACCCATATCAAAACCAGTATTTTGTTAATTCTGATGATCATTGAATTGGCTGTTATGAATCTTACTATTCATTGTGTTACCCCTGGCCTGCCATTATTCTGGAATCATATTTTCTGGTTGGACCACATCTCCTGAGGGATTCTACAAATGGCTTGGGAAATCCAACATCCATTTTGGCATCACCAAAATCCAATGGTGTGGTACCTACAATGGACTGCAGCTTTTGTTATGGGAACTCACCACATATGATAGAATTTCACCATATGTGTTATGATGTGACAACACCCCACAATCCATGATGTCACCTCACCATTGGCTTTGGGGCCCCACCATTTGTTTTGGGGTTATGCCATCCATTGTTGTTACCCAGGCTCTGTTGTGGAGGAGCTGGTGCAGCAGATCCCCAATGTGGAGCAGCCGCTATGGGATAAGTACCTTTGATACAACCTGATGGAATCATTTCAATCTATGCTATCGAAATATTTGTTCATGATAGTTGGCCATCTTAAACAAGACTTTGAACCAAAAATCCCACAGCACTAACAGCACCATGCCTGCCAATTTCACCAAGATACTGCCAATCGTCTATTGTCCACTCAGGTTCATCAAGCGGATCAGGGAAGGCGATGCAACATTGGAGATGAATCTCCTCAGTGCCGTTGAGGCCAAGTCGGATGCTTGGGTCCCAAGAGAGAACCCTTGTAGCCAGCCTATGGTCTAGTAATATTGTATGTTCACTCTTTTGGTAATAGGTCAATGGAAAATAATGATATAAACCTTCATTGACCAAGTCATTCCATGTGAACTCAACTAAGGTATCATGGGGATACTCAATGACATTGTCCCTGACAAAGTTGGTGGTGGTGTGAAGCAGGGACAGGGCAACCAACTTGATCTCGATGGGGCAAAGCAGTCTTTGGATCTATCGGCTCTGAAACTGTTGATTCAGGAAATTGAATATGATGAGAAGTGCATGAATGCATACAGCTCTAGGATGATGCAATATCAAGTCCGTCTTGCCCACCAGAAGAATGAATGGATCACCAAACGAATCGAAAATGCAAAGACCTCTGTGAATCGCTGGATGGACTCCAAGGCACTTATTTATGATATCAAAATTAAACACCATGATGTTTCAGCCAATGGGCTTGTTATTCAACCTGGTCAACATCACATTATCATGGGTCCCTGAATAGGTGATGGCATTGAGCTGGCCAGAAAAGATTGATGGTGCCGCAGCTATCAATGTTGTGCAGCAGCTGGAAGACACTGCCACCAAATGGTCCCAATCACTGCAGCTCCAGACAACCGACCCTAAGCCATATCTTTGAGAACATTAATTTTATTTGATATATTATCCTGTACATGACTTTGCATATGGTGACATATCATGATTTAATATGCTCTCCAAAGCTCCAACCTTTAGTGGCATTCATGTTCAGCTAAGGCATACCTTTTTGTGGCAAACTTTGCATCGCCCTCTTTGGTGAAATCTGAGCTGGTGACGTGCATCTTGAATGCAATGGGGCACACGATCTCCTCAAAACCAGCATCCAGCTCTGGTGTGTTCTTATGCCCAGCTTTTGCATACAAGGGAAACTTGTTCAAGGAGGAGTTTGGTCTTCTTCGCACTCTTTCTTCGGCTGGTTGCTGTGTGGATACGGGCTTCCAACTGCTGTTCGACATCAAGACAAAAGTGGTTTCTTACCTCTGACTTAGGAATGTTGTATCTGCATCAGTACCCCTGAATGATTAGGTCATATTAGGCTTATCTATTTTGAGCTTGGGCAGCAAGATGGGTTCCAAAGTAGAATCAATCTAGTTTGAGGTTATTGCATCTTAACTTAGGATGCCAGAGACCAACGTCCAATGGCATACTCGGGACGGTTCGTTGGACCCTTGCAGTCAGCATTAGATGTATCCAAGTCTGAGTGGCTTTGGAAAGGGTCAGCCCTCAACCGCATGAGGAGGACTGTCAATGAAGCCAAACAAGCCCCTTCAAGGACTATGATCCAGATGGAAGAGATTTCAACAACAGCACTCCCTTCTTCAGTTAGTGCTGTTCATGGAGCACACAAGTACGCCCAAATCGGCCCAGATGCGGCAGAGGAGCTGCTCATGAGCTCGGTTGATCCTTGGTGGAAAATGGCAGGTAGACTTAGGGGGTGATATTTTGCTTTAATCTGGACATTTTAAATAGATCTCGATGACATACAAAGGGAACTTAACAATAGATGATACACACAAAAATGATGTTACACTAATATCTGTAAATGGACCATTCATCTATATTGCATGGGATATGATATATATTTTATTGTTATGGTATATGTAATAGATATGATATCAATATATTTATGAATGTACACACATATATATATATATATACACATTTGGGTATTTCATCAATAATTGCATTCAAAGGGTGTTACAACATTAGCAGGTTTTGAAGTGGTTCTCAAACACATTGCATACCGAGGATGGGGTTGCGTTCACTTCCTCAACTGGTTTGGTGGTGGTTGATCTTTTCCCTTATGTGGGCAATTTCCTTGAAGGCTTCCAACGGATGACTGAAAAAGTCAACACACCGGCAGTGTATATCCCTGTGTACACTGACATGGAGCACAAAGATTGGTCATCTGAATTCATGTCCCTGTTTCAGAATGGGAAGCTCACTGTGGCTGGTTCGGAAAGGTGGGGGCCTGACCAAAAACACCACAATATTATGTTACAATGATTTACCTCAAAATAGATGGGTTAAACGGTTACAATACTGTCTTATAATTCCCATTGCCCTTGCAGGCTTCAAGAAGATCCTCCTGCCGACCACTTGGAGGCACCACCAGAACCGCCGGCTTTGAAGAAATGCACTTATGGAAAGGTGGGGGACCACAAAATTGGATATTATATCTTTTTTTGACATCTGATGGGGGATATTCAATATATGAATCATGAATGTAAGTTCTGGATTACCCTTACTTCCAAAAGAGTACTACAAGCCCCAAAAAAATCATTTCCCTTCAGGTTGATGGGCAGATTGTCACCATTGAAATCCCGGACAGCATTACCAAGCAGTTTGAGTCGAGGGATGAGTGGAAACAGTTTCATGAAGGCTTTTTGCGCCGATTCCCTGGTGTGAAAAGCTTCAAGGGCACAGCCAATGCCAACAAGAAGGGTGGACATTCCCAGCCAACCGGCCCCTTGCCACCGAAGAAACGTCGGCTTGCTGAGGATCTTTCAGGGTCCATTGTGGATGCAGCTCAGGTCACACCTGCCCAGGATGACCAGTTACTTGTGGAAGTGCCCATTGTAAATGCACGTGCTGGCAAGAAGTTGACCACGATGCCCTTACTTCGCATTACCAAGAACATGGGTCCATACATCTTGAATGAAGCAGGGCAAGATGTCCCTTGATTGAGTCGCAATATATATCAGTTCATGGTTGTCCCAAGTGTTGTTGTAGGAGCCTCTCTTCATGATCAATTTCAATTACAAGTCAAAATGCTAAGTTAATGGATCTAAGTCCCAATAAACAACCCTTTTTGTTGATAATGGGCGCAATGCAAAACAAATTCCAACCATCCTGTACTAAGAAGCTTTAGATGGGAAAGGTTTACTGTACCCAATGCTTGTTGGTTGATTCACCTGATCTTGTCTGCACTAAGGTGACTTTGCAGTCCAGCTCCGTGATTTGTGGCTTCGGGAAGGCCAAGTTCAAAGAGGCCCCAAAGGATCCCCAGCAAATTGATCATGACAATGAATTCTTATTCGAAGTCACCGGTGACTCCTATGGTGTCTTGGACAATGAGTTTGGAACCATTTCGGAGCATTTGGACAAAGCCAAGCAAGCCAAACCCGGGAATTGCCGAGTGTGCTACCACAAAACGTCCCAAGACCCAGATGGCAATTGGATCCTTCAAAAGGAGCCTAGGGATACCACATCTTGATAAAACATTGTTTACCAGAAATGCTGTCAAGACTGGGTAAAAATAGTCACTGTTCTCATTATCATCCTCTATTTTTCTGGGGTGCAAACTTCACAACTATAATTTATTTCAATGATTTTATATATAATAGTATCTAATGAGCTGGTTTGATAATAAACTATTAGTCCACCAAATTGTCAATGCATAATCGTTACTGTAAGACCCCTGAAGGAGCATGATGTCCTCTTTTGCCTCCAAAAGGAGGATGATGCAGCTAAGTGCACCCAATCGCAAGCAGGCAAGTTTTTGGTTCCAGCATGCGCCTGGAACACCAAAGGTGTGAGGTTGGCATGGCAGCTGAAGTGGAGCCTCAACGGCATTCAACCGATGCGAGCTTTGGTGGTGGCAGTTCAAGACATCACCATCCCAAACCAAAAGGCATTTATGGTGCAGTAGGTTGCCGGAACCCTGCTTTGAGAAGGGAATTTTGATAGATATCCCAATACCACATGCCAACATATCAGATTGAAAAATCATGGTTTGATTGAAAGGGTCTACGGCATGGGAGCTACCATGGCAAAGATCAGCTGCAGTCGTTGCAACAAAAATGGTCATCTTGGTTGGTGCTGTGTTCGGGAATCGGATGGAAATCATGGGATAAAACCGTTGGTGGTAAATAAATGGGGATAAGCCAAAACTCATCAGAATCAATTCAACACAGACCCTGGAACCCGAATTCTTGATTGATGACCCCTCCTTGGATTGCCTTCTCGCATGCTACCCATTTGCTATGCCAGGTCAATACAAAAACCTTTCGAAGAGGACTTCCTGTGGGGAGTGGTTTTTGGTGGCTTGGATTTATCTTAATTTTCATTGTTGATGCATTAGTAAATGGCAGCTATTGACCTCTTAATTGGAGTGATTGGGGCAATGATCATATTTTCATGTGGGTCTTGAGTGGGGCACCCATGATTTTCCAAAGTAAACTCCTTTGAGACATTGACCATCTGACTTAATAAGCGCCGCTGTATGGGTAATTTTTCTGATCATCAACTTCAGATGGATCCCAGCATATGAGATCATGATAGATGGGTTCCACTTAGCTCTAAAGCCTACACTTTGCAATTTTTATATATCAATTATTGATGGCTATCTGTTTGTGAAATATTTAATAAATGTATGATATATAAGTAAAATATAACATACATCCTCATATATGTATATATACATATACCTAAATATATTTATATTATATACATATATATATATACCTGATATATATCTATATAATAATAACAACAATAATACATAATAATACATAATAATAATAACAATATTTATTTATACATATTATATGATTTACAATATATAACATTATTGTGTATACAGGATGGTTCCAAAACGGTTCAGGAACCTAAACCGCTGCACATAAGGAACCGAACCGGTCCGGAATCGGAAAAAATAGAATCGTTTGGAATCGAATCGGATTGAATCGACCAGGATTTTAAGGAACCTGAACACGGCAATAATTAAGAATCGAATCAAACATGAATCGGTCGGTTGTTTGAACCGAATCGCCACGAATCGATTTTCAACGGGAACCGAATCGACGGGAATCGGGGCCATGCATACCCGGGATCATATATATAGTTCTTGTATGTTTGTATTGTCTTGAACCACGCAAGTGCTTGAGATAATTATTGCATACTATCTTACTTTGCAAGCTTTAATAAAATACGAACTCAGTTTTATACAAGCGCCGTGACCAAGTAGTAGATACACGGTCAAATATGATTCAATAAATTAAATATTATTTTCTTATCAAATCTTTATATAAATTTCTTGGATCTATGTGTGAATTTGGGTGCATGAATACAATAAGGGAAAACAAAATTGGAGGGACTTCATATTCTTCTAGTTTATCCTGAGTGATTGAATTCAGAGTTTGATCGACGATATTTCTCAAAAACGCACCAGCCAGCCGCCAGTATCCATCACGGCCCTTTTCCGTCTCTACATCAGCGGACCACGTTATAGCCTGGATCTTGCTCCTGGCGCGGCCAAGACATGGTAACGGTTAAATTACATGGCCAGGGATGTGAAGACAAATCTAAAATACGAACGATGAGGAATTCAATCTATTGGGAAATCACGCAAATTCGACCCATAACCATGAAAACTATCCTGCTACAACAAGAAGGTGGAATTTGAACAACAAAGTCCACCAGGCTAATTGAACTATATAACTATGAGGGTACGGACGATTGGCTATGAACCCTGGAACTCCAAGGGCAAACATGATTTCCATCTCTGTATGTATCTTGCCCCCACCAAGTCACATTTGAAGATTTTAACAGGTTTCAGACTAGTTTCAAAGTAGTTTCAGACCCCTAGAAGGGACAGGTTTGGTGTGTAGATATGTAGCTGGGTAGCTAGGTAGGTACGTAGGTTGGTATGTATGCATGTGTGTATATAACCAATCCTACTATCGAATTTCGTCTGGGAATGCAACTGAAGCATAACTGGAAGAAACTTAATATACATTATCATACATTATGCCCGTGACATATCCCCGTGATGTTGAAAGAGGCATACATTATATACCATCAGTGGACATGACATATCCCCGTGATGCCTCCCATGCCTGCAGGTTATGATTCACGTCCGTCAGTCCCAAGCGGGCGATTGCATCACCATTATGGCCAACACCTGCCCTGGAACGCCAAGGGCCAAAAGATACCATCGGTAAAATTGCAACCCATATGATCTATATATCTGGTAGGCAATGGCACATACCAACGGACATAGTTGTTATTGTCCGCTTCGGATCTTTGGTATGCATCCTCAACCAAACGCAAGCTAAGCTAGCGAGCGCACCCGCACTGTGCACCAAGTGTTGGTGGAGAGTCAGAAGGAAGGAGGCGATCCAGATACCTGCCAGGCTGCTTTGCTGGTTGCTGCCTTGACCCCAAAGTTACCATTTGGCCACAAACGCGGCTCCAGGTACGCATGTAATTGGTTTCAGGTAGTTTTCAACTACATCATGAATGTAGAATCGAATTTGGTATACGGTATACTGCTCATCTTGGTCAAGCTCTGGAACTCCTTTGAACTCAGCATTTCTGCTGTATACGGCTATTATACGGCTCATTTTGGTCAAGCCCTGTAGATGAGCCGTATACTGGCCGTATACAGCAGACATGCTGAGTTCAAGTCAAAACTAGGGCTTGACCAAGATGAGCCGTATACTAGCCGTATACAGCAGACATGCTGAGTTCAGGTAGATTTCAACTACCTTCTCTGCTCTATAAGCTTTTCGCGGGTGCAACGGAAACATATGTGCAACCTACGGGACAAAACTCGCTTGATACACGCACACGCACATGGATATATACCTACGGAGATACCTTCATACCTACTACATAGCTACATACCTGCATTCCAAAGAAGTCCCTTCTGAGGGTCTGAAACAGGTTTGAAACTTGTCTGAAACCCCATCGAAAGGGAAAGGGAAAGGCAGAGCCAATCATACAGAAACTTTTCCCAGAAAGACGGACCTACATGCATACATACTTACATAGAATAGTTAGATACATGCACGCATACAGACTTACATACATACATACATACATACATACGTACGTACGTACGTACATACAGACATACATACATACGTACGTACATACCTACCTACCTACCTACCTACCTACATACATACATACATACACACATACACACATACACACATACATTACATACTTACATACACACATACAGAGAGAGGGAGGGAAGGGTGAGCCAATCATGCATGCTATTTTTCCAAAATGCAGCCTAAACCTTGATTTGTATTTGGGTGTGTATGTGTGTATCAATGTAGCTTTTGTATGTAGGCGTTTTTAATTCGGTTAAATTGGAATTGTAATTCGGCAGATCCAATTACGATTCCAATACTACCGAATTGCGGCTGCACTCATGTACGTATGTAGGTATGTACGTATGTATCTGTGTAGCTTGGGTATGTAGGTGTTTTTAACTCAAACCTGCATCTACCAGATTTTTTTAATTCGAACCAAAGAGGAAACAAAACATTGAAACTGCTTTGAAACCACTTGGAAACCCTAGGAAGCTAGAGCTCCGAAGTATCTCGTGGCTCATATGTAGGTATGTAGGTGCTTATGTATGTATCTATATTTGTAGTAATATATGCCAAAAAAGAAACAAATCCTGCATTCTGGCAAAAAAGTCCGGATTCCTTCCGGAATTGTCAGAGCACTTGTGGGGTTTCAGCTAGAGATGGGACATTGACACCCAAACTACTGCCTGTAGATAGCTCTGAAATGAATCTGAAATGTGTCTGAAATGTGACTGAACTGAACCTGAAGGAGACTTGTGCAAGGACTTCCTTCCCGTGTGGACCCAGGCTCCAATCAGAGAGCTTTCCTGACGCAGTGACTGTATGGTCCAGCATCACGAGCAGCCTCAGACATCCGCATCTAGGACAAGAGAGATCAGAGGAGGAAGGGTGCTTAACCACGCTCATTGTGTGGAGGTCACATGGCTGCTATTTGAGATGTTCACCGGCTAGAAACAAATCAATGGATTCTGCTTGTCGGGCCCGGATTCGGTCCGGATTCGCTGCAAGAGATTCATGTCCGAACTTACTTTCTACCTACTTTCTGCTTGACATCGCCTACATTGCTGCGCGTTTTCTGCTCAAGATTCAATCTGCAAAACACAATGCCGCTATATGAGGATGGTTACCAAAAAAGAAACAAACCCTGCATTCTGGCAGTAAAGTCCGGATTCCTTCCGGAATTGTCAGAGCACTTGTGGGGTTTCAGCTAGAGCTGGGACATTGAATTCACCCAAAGTACTGCCTGCAGATAGCTCTGAAATGAATCTGAAATGTGTCTGAAATGTGACTGAAATGAACCTGAAGGAGACTTGTGCAAGGACTTCCTTCCCGTGTGGGCCCAGGCTCCAATCAGAGAGCTTTCCTGACGCAGTGATTGTATGGTCCAGCATCACGAGCAGCCTCAGACATCCGCATCTAGGACAAGAGAGATCAGAGGAGGAAGGGTGCTTAACCACGCTCATTGTGTGGAGGTCACATGGCTGCTATTTGAGATGTTCACCGGCTAGAAACAAATCAATGGATTCTGCTTGTCGGGCCCGGATTCGGTCCGGATTCGCTGCAAGAGATTCATGTCCGAACTTACTTTCTACCTACTTTCTGCTTGACATCGCCTACATTGCTGCCCGTTTTCTGCTCAAGATTCACAATCTGCAAAACACAATGCCGCTATATGAGGATGGTTACCAAAAAAGAAACAAATCCTGCATTCTGGCAGTAAAGTCCGGATTCCTTCCGGAATTGTCAGAGCACTTGTGGGGTTTCAGCTAGAGCTGGGACATTGAATTCACCCAAAGTACTGCCTGCAGATAGCTCTGAAATGAATCTGAAATAAGTCTGAAATGTGTCTGAAATGAATCTGAAAGAGGCTTGCAAGGACTTCCTTCCCGTGTGGGCCCAAGCTCCAATCAGAGAGCTTTCCTGACGCAGTGATTGTATGGTCCAGCATCACGAGCAGCCTCAGCCATCCGCATCTAGGACAAGCAAGATCAGAGGAGGAATGGTAACGAAAAGGAGATGAATCCTGCATTCTGGTTGTGGAGTCCGGATTGAGTCCGGAAAAACTAACCTACATACTTGCATTCCAAACATGTCCCTTCTGGGGGTCTGAAACTGGTATGAAACTGGTCTGAAACCACATCCGAGGCTTCAATTGTGTCCAATGGGAAGAGGAGAGCCAACCATACAGAAGACTGTTTGTTTGACATAAACTCACTTTTCCATCGCCGTCCATTGTATTCGGGGGCACACGGGATGTGAATTCGATATTATTGGCATCATAATTAAATTTGTAGAATTACGGCTCCATGTCTGTCGCATTCCACATGCGTACGTACCAAGCCTTGAACCCTATGCATCCATATACACAAACACATAGATCCATACATGCATACATACATAGCTACGTACCTAAGTACCTACATGCCTACATAGCATAATCTGACCCTTCTGGAGGTCTGAAACTGTGAATTTTGCCCTGGATATCCGAGGGTCATACAAAAAATATTGTGTGCATCATAGGAAAGAATTCCACACAAGTTTGACAGCGCGCAAATGTTCCCACGCCTGTCAAACATCCAACGTTCCTAGGGATCGCCGCGGCCCGCCGCCCGAAAAGGCTGCGAGAAGCTGCTTTTGTTTCAGAAATGTAAACACGTATATTTATATATGAATAAAATGTAAAAAATATATTTATATATGAATATATATATATAAATATTATTTATGTATATTTAAATATATAAATATATATTCATATATAAATTAATATCTACATATATTTATTAATATATGTATGTATGTCTCCTTATGTATATATTTGTATGTATATATAGATAAATAAATAAATAAATATATATATATATATATTGAAAAAGAACCGCAAGCTATCGAATCGAACCACAAATGGAAACGCAAGCTATCGAATCGAAATTCAACGACGAATCCAAATCAAAGATTGAATCGCAAGCTAACGAATTGATATTAATCAAGAATCCCTTACTAACGACCATACTCCCCGCAGACCTCGAATCGTTCCGAATCGAATCGGAATCGAATCGCGCTAGGCGGAATCGAAAACCAATTCTCTCGAAGTCAATTCCTTCTATAAAAAATCGAATCGAAATCGCCAAAAACGAACCGGGACCACCCTGTGTATATATATATATATGCAAATTATAATGCATATACATTGTTGTACTAGTAAACTCTTGGAGTGCATCTCACCAGCAGTGTGAGTGTGTGTGTAACAATGGGGCATGATTTTGTGGAGCAATTTTTGTGGCTGCACCCTGATAAGTGCCTCAGCCTGAGGCATAATCATTGGCCATAGTGCCCACACGCTGTGGTTGAGTTCATTCACATGAGACAGCTTTTGCTTTTGGCTGGTGCCCATCCTGATTATGCCACATCGATTGGCGTGACTGCCACTTACCTTGTGGCTACATTGGGTGTAGACCTTCGTGCTGGCGTTTGAAAAACCAGGCTTCAAGGTGAGAGCAAGGACGTTTTGATCTGACTGAGTCAGAGAAGTTTCTCTAATTGGTCTAACTCATTTTGATGGCAGCGTGCCAACTGCATTAATCTTCATGCACCAGTCAGTGCATGATAACACTGATTGGCCACTTGCTTGATGATCACATCCTTGTCACCAGTGTCTGTCTTTATTTGAGCCATCAGTCAGGGCAATTGGTTACAATTGCTCAGATCATCCTTAAAATTTTTGAGCCACAATCAGTGGAACTTAATCCCAAATATTGTTATATCATCAGATTTTGCTATTGGGAACTTAATTTGTAAGATGATCTGTTGTTTATCATGCACCCATTGTTGTGATATGAATTATGTTGGTACTATATATGAGATTATTTGAGTATCTATGGATATCTTTATTTGTAGGTGAACCTACCTAAATATAATAAACCATCAGATAACCCACCAATCCTTTCAGCCAAGCAGCGGTGAGGACGAAGTGGTTGCGAGCCAGCCAGTGGTGGTGGCCGTGTGGAGGGAAGAGGTGGTTTTTGGTTATAGGGTTATAGATAGATAGATTGATAGATTTATTGATATTTGCCGTGGGGTAATCATGCATTATTGAGATATGGTATGAATATTGAGATATAATATTGTGATTCATACATATGTATTTGTATACCTATAACAGAATACCTATATAATATATACCTAAGTATGGATAGTATGGATATATCAATTAATAACATGCATATAATCTAATCATATTTTACAAAGATATATAAGATTAAACCTTGCATCAAACTTATACATCCCACAAGATGCACCACATCATAGATGGAAAACCAGACCCATAATCAAATGCAATTGACCCATAATCAAGTGCAAATCCTTTATAGGAGTAGAACATGGGTTTGTCTGAAGAGTTCGAGTACCTCACAGTTGAATGGCAGATTATTGTTGTCCCTTTAACATTGCAATTTTTGGGGGTACGGTATACCGGTATACCCCATTTTCATATTTTCAGACAACTGATTGCCATGTGTCAGGGATTGCACACTGAAAACCGGATCCGACCGAGTCGAATGAAGTGCTGCCGTGATGCATTTTCCACTCCTGAGGTGTATCGAGAGGAAGTCTGTACCAAACCTTAGCGCTGAAAATGGGAGCGAGAACTCTCACCTGCAACCCACTTTCACCGCTTTTTGATTGTCTCGAAATTGTCGAACAGCAATGAACAGCATCTTAGATTTGTAAGTTTCAACTGATCACCAAAGCAGGTCAAATGGTTTCATACTGCTTGTTTAAATACTGTTTTATTGATACAGTTTTAGTAGGCTTTGCAAAGGTTTATGAAATCAAACAAATACAATCTATGAACATACATGATAATTACTCATAATATGTGTATATATATATACATGATAATGATTGATAATGCATGCCTCACTTAACTTATCTTAACTTGAATGCTTGTACAACCGGGTGCAAGCGGCTGCCAGGTAGGCGATGGCCAAAAATGGGCCTCCAAAGAGCAACCAAGGTCGCCGGCGACCTTGGACGTGGAACTAATCGACTTTCGATTCCTGGGATGAAGCACACTAGTATGTTTTTTTCTCGGAAGAAGGTATGTGGTTTTCTCATGTTTTCTCTAGGCGATTTTAAGGAGAACATCAAGCCAATCAGAATGGGAGAAAAAACTTGGTTACCAGCAGTGAGAATCGAATCTACCTAAACCAGGTCCTCAAAGGTGCCAAGCCCTCTTGGTGCATTGGATGGACAGCCCAAACAATAGTGTTTGAAACTACCAAACAAATCCAAACCGGACAATTTTTCAGGGTGAAGGAATTTGACATTATTTGACAGATAGCAATTTTCAGCTGCTCCGCATAGATTTAAGGTGTCTTGCTGATTTACCTTGGGGTGTGATAGTCTTTTTATGTCTTTTTGGTATCGACTTTCATAAAATACACGCACACAGCATCACACAACTGAGAAGCTAGAGCACCCCCAGGAAGCCGCCAAGCCTTATCTTGACTCATGATTCTTAGGCTTATCTTTATGACCAATACAACGTGGGGCCCCTAGAAACCCAAGTTAGTTTATAAGTGTATTCAGTAGCTTACCTATGGTTCATGATAGATATGAGTACAGTTGAGGGGGTTGTATGCCAACTGATAAACAGCGCGGCCCACATTGTACCACAATTCAGCCAAATGATCCTTGTTCTCCACAAAACTAGGGAACCTTTGGTGTAAATGCACAATTCTTCCTCTTTGGTGGTTGACGAGTAGTGCAAACTCCAGAAACATATTAATTATGCACACCTAAGACGGTAAACTTGACGTTTCACAAGAAGTAATCCCCAAAAATTATTGTCCCAGCAAAATTCCCACCGCTCTGCAAGTCAAAAGCAAATTCCGTGATTCTAGGTTCCAGGGTTTTTGGGTTCCAGTTCCGGATTTTGGGCTGGGGGCACAAACCACACACCGCTCCCAGACGCAAAGATTGAAGTCCAACAGTCACCAATGCATGGGCAGAATCTTCATCGCATGACTTCAGATCGTATGTGTATGTATATATGATATACGCATACATATGTATGTATGTATGTATGTATGTATGTATGTATGTATGTATGTATGTATGTATGTATGTATGTATGTATGTATGTATGTATGTATGTATGTATGTATATAATATATATATATATAGCTATTTATATAAACACATAATTATATTACTATAGACTGTACTTATGCATTCAGGAGTGTCGATTAATATTAAACAAAAGGAGTCACACACACTTGATAATTATATATGATAGCTGCATCAACAGAGAATCTTCACTCTTGAGCCATGCGAGGCACCCCAGCGCGTGCGGGTCTTGTCCGAGAGCGCTCCGATCAAGGTATCATTAAAGGCGTCAAAAAGCCCAACCTTATATAAATGCATTGCGGTGGCTGCCAACGGGTCAATGTGGGGGTATCCCAAACGTACAAGGTTACATCGGCAAGATCTGTGGCTCTCAATTCTTCACCCGTTGCCATGCATAGGTAGGCTGGACACCATGCCAGCCAAAGTTCTTTCGCGTATATCACAGGTCCCTCCATGAAAATGGCTATACATCCATCCATATCCATCATCAATGAACATTCTACCGTTCACCAGTTGGTTTACCCTCTGGTAAACTAACATAGCTATGGAAAATCACCATTTTGAATGGGAAAATCAACTATAAATGGTCATTTTCAATAGCTACGTTAGTTTACCAGAGGGTAATCCGACCTACCGTAGTTTAGTTTTAGGGTGATAAACCGCATCCCCCACCACAGTGCAAGTCAATGGGATCAGCTGGTCAAACCGTAAATGACTCTCGAAGCTGAAAAGCAATGTAGTGTGTATATGTGTGTATAAATTGTATAATATGTACATATCTATACACACTAGAACTCATTTTCAACTTGGAAAGTCATTCAAGAAATTGAAGGACATGGAAGGACATTATCTTCGAAACTTAGTGAAAGCATGTGAAAGCACTACAAGAAGTAGTTGAATGTATTTGATGTCTTCCTTATTCTTGGCTTCACAGCTCTCCCAATGTCTCGCCATGCAGCTCCCAGTTGAATGAGGCCAACGAGTGCGGGTTGGATACAGCACGTCTCAAGGAAGAACTTGTTGAGGTAATAACCACCAACAGTGACCCAAATTCCTGCGGCTGCGGCGCAAACGCTCCAGTTGTCAGCTGCCAGGTGGCTCCGAGTTCCCTGAATCTTCTGGAGATAGTAGAAATATCCAGAAATCAACTACTGGTGGTTTCAAACTGCCTGAAAACATATAGACATTGGGGATCATCATCCCAAGTAGGATGGACTTTTGACATCTTTTGACAACATCCACATGTGGACCGCTTGCCGCTCGTCCCAATCGGCAAGTCAAGCTCCTTCCACGCTCTGGCCCAAGGCTAGGAGCAACCTTGGCTGTGAATCTTGGCTGCGGCTGATTTAATTAGCATGTGACACTGGTAATTAGCAAAGTTTGGAAGCTAAAAATATTTCCTTTCTATCTAGAGCACGGATCGAAAAGGAATCGCATTTGGTCACACACTTCGCTGCAACACCGGAATACTATTGAGCATCTCTCAGAACGGGTCCATTTGTGATTTCCAGCCCTTAGTTTTGAGGGCCTTTTTTGAACGATGAACAAACGATGAACATAACATAACATGATCCATTTCCGCTAAAAGACTTGGTCTTCAGCGAGAGCCGTTCTGAGTCTTCCATGATGATTCCACGGTGGTCCGGACGCTTTCCGCAGGACGCCGGAACCGGACGAGAGCTACGAAAAAGGGATACGTTGCCACAGGATTTTTGTTGGTTCACTTAGTTTGCTTCGTTTGATTGATTTTGATTGTGTTTGTGTTTTATTTTGAGGCCTTTAAATGAAGATTGAACAAGGTATGCATCCCATGATGTGGATTGATGGATGTTGAACGATGTTTTTCACTGCAATTCCTGGGCGGAACTGCTCCTGAAGCCAACAGCTATCAACAGCTACAGCTAATGCTGGTCTGTGACTGGCAAACTCATATCCTGGTGCCCTCATTAACATGCCAAACAACAAGATATGACCTATGACCAAATATCACCATATATGACTTATGATCACCTAAACATCTTGGGGTCTGTGTTGAGCTACGCCGCTGCGTGTCGGACGGACCTTGCATGTTTTGCACTTCCACCCTGCCTCCAGCTTTCTGAGCACTGGTTGGTACCACTCCTGCCTGCAAATGTGGCAGCGATAGCCCCAGAACAAGATGTGTAGCTGCCTATTGGGGCAGCTAACCCTCCAAAATTGCCACAAAGTATGCCACCATAATTCACACTTCATCCATACCCATTGAAGTTCTCCATGCCAGCAATTGGTTCTTTTCACCCGAATCCAGATGTCAGGTGCCTCAAGGGCCTTTGCACGCCAAAACCAAAATGTCCACTGGGAGAATCCAAGATCAGCTGGGCGCAAATGGCCGCTGTGACGCCCACCTGCGGCATTTCGGATGTTCATTTCGGCCATTCGGGGGAGTTGGACTGTTGGAAGCCAGTGCAAAAAATGATGCCAAGAAGATTCAGAAAGTTTGCGACCCATCAACATGCCGTCAAGTTGGATCTCGAGCATTGTTGCGGCTCCCCGACTTTCTTGGAACATGCCCAAATCATGCCAAATCAGTCTTTCCGTGGATGCCAACCTGTTTCGTTTCCTTGGCCATCATTAACAAACATATGAACAGCATAGGCTCCCTCCTGAAAGATACCAATTTCATGGATTTCTCTCAACGAATGATTGGTGGTTTCAACTCAAAATCACCAGTTTCTCAAGAAAACACATATCCAAACATATATATATATATGTTTATTAATAAATATCTATACTATATACACAGCAGTTTATATTTAGAATTGGTATAGAAAACAAATTTCCAATCATAGTTCCATTTGAACGTTCCAGATTCCTCCAAAATTATCGTATATCATATGTATATATATATATATGTTAAGTATGTAAAGCGTCATTATATATCATCTGTATATTATATATATACATAACAATAATAAGAACAATAATAATAACAATAATAATAACAATAATAATAATGATAATAATAAAATTGATAATAATACTACTACTAATAATAATAATACTAATACTAATAATAATATATATATATAATAATAATAATAATAATAATAATAATAATATATATAATACAGTTCCCCCAAGCGCTCCCAGCTCTGAGTTGGCGGGCCGTTTTGGCCATGGCAGTCTCGTGCGGCTCACCATATTGGATCTAGGATATCTGGGGGGGAGGCATGACGCGTCACCTGTTTAAACATGGGGGAATTCAACCTGCAAACATGATCAAACATGTGGACTATTGGACTTTCATGACCAAAAAACTATCAAACACTTATACCTTTTTCTTAACAATTAGCAGTTGAATTTCTTGGACGATAACCATTTGGTACTCACTGTATTAGCAACTGAAATTGGGTTGTGACCCTGTCCCAGTTGGGAACATAGCCGAGTTTGTTGGCGATGTACCAGAAAATAAATGGATTGGTGGCACCGATTGGAGCCCTTCAAGCAACAAATTCCCGCTTAAGACTTGTCACATCTTGCTGAGGAACAAATCATGACACTGTAATAGATGTCGTTTGCTTACTTTGCTACTTGAGCCCACTATTGATCTGTTTTTTCTACAGTTGAAAACCCATAGTTTCCCACATGGTCCTAGATGTTTCTAACATTTTCCCGTATTCTTCCCATATTTTCCCATAGTTGTCCTATATTTTCCCACATTTTTCTAGATTTTCCCGTTCCTGGCGCTTCAAACGCTCGCGGGGCTGCTGTCAAAGGCGCCAAGGTGGAGACCTGGCGCTCCAGTTGTCCATCGCTCCGTCGGACGTCCAGCTCATGTCCTGGAAAATCGGGACAATCCATGGGAAAATCCATTAATAAACCCCTGGATCAATAAGGTTTAATCCATTTTTGGGATTATTAACAGCCCAGGATTTATTAATAGCTCCTGGAAAATCGGGAAAATCCATGGATTAATGTCAACCCTGGATCAATAAACCACTGGGCTGTTTAATTGGGTAGATTATGACTATTGAGGAGTACCCCCCTAATTAATAAACCGTTTATTAATCCGGGGTTGACATTAATCATGGCTAATGATGGTTCAGGATGGCTAATGATCCAGAAAATATGGTGGGTTTCCATAGTCATGGGGGTACCCTGTTGACCAACCCCTCTGAAAAATGATGGAGTGAAAGTCAGTTGGGATGATGACATTCCCAACTGAATGGAAAAAATAATCCAAATGTTCCAAACCACCAGCCAGGGAAAATATGGAGGGTTTCCATAGTCATGGGGGTACATATATAGCTGGATGGTTTATTTCATTGGAAAATTCCAATCGAAAATGAATGATGAACAGGGGTACCTCCATGGATTGGAAACCTCCATGTGGGAACTTCACTGGGAAAATCCATGGATGATCGAACCCCCCTTTAGGTGGAACCCCCCCTAGTGTATGAGGGGTTCATGGGTTCCTTATTCAAGGGCTTATTCAATCTTGGAGATTTTGGCTCAACATCCGTATTTAACGGGACCATTTTCTCTTATTCAACTATAGAAAAACATTATTCAACGGATCATTTAATCTTATTGTAAATGGATGTAAATGGATTATGAAATCCCAACATGGCCAATAATCCATAAACTACTCCATGGGAAAATCCATCAGCAACATATTCCTAAAATCTGTTTTCCCAGAATCATCCAGAATATGGTAGAATCAGTGGACAGATTTATAGGTGTTTTTATTTATAATGGATTTACGATGGATTTATAATGTGGAACACCCATCTAGTTGGGGATTTCCTACTCTACATCGCCCAAGAAGTGACTATATATGACTATGATGTGTAAATGGGTCTGGTTGGTGGTTTCAACCCCTCTGAAAAATATTAGTCAATGGGAAGGATTATCCCATATATTATAGAAAATAAAAAATGTTCCAAACCACCAACCAGGGGTGATTACACTGGTCATAATATTAAGATTAATACATAAATGGGTAAAAATATGGATGATCTCCACAAGGACATACAAGAATCCTGACTCACTCATGTCATTAGTAAGCCCCCATGACATTATGACTTATATTAATGGATAATAATGCTTGATTATATCAACAGATTATTGAACAAATGGAAGCATCAGCCGTTTGCAAATTATATATATACAGTATATATATATATTGGGGAAAACATCGAACTAATGGATTTATCTTTATTAGTATTGATGGGGAATCACCCATACTGATTTATGGAGAATCTAGTTATGGGAAAATCGAGTTAAATAGAGTCGATCAAATGATTTGCAAATGGGTGACGAATTCATGGATTTTTTCCATGACGTAAATCGATGACCTATGGATCTACAATGACACGTTTGAATAAGCGAACCAAATGGTTTATAGGTGATGTTCAAGCCATGTTTGATTACCAGAGAGTACCCCTTGCCACTTGGTTTTGAAATGATTTGAAGCAGATTTCCCAGTATTCAATCCATCGAAGCCATGTCTCACTGGGGATATACTGCATTTTTTATAGGTGGGGGAAAAAGGTTATCAGCCACTTCCACTAGATGATCCTATAATGTGGTAAACCCAATCATGATGCGACTTTGTCATACTTTTTCGGGCTGGTGGCCTACCATTTCTGGTCAAATTTGAGATGCTTTATTGTTGGGCTTAACGGTCACAGCACGATGTTCAGCAAATGCTAAATTATTATATCACCATTCAATCAGAATTAACATAAACTTGCTGATAAAAAAATGAGTGTTCACACTGCATTGCAAAGACAATCACACGCGTTTTATCAATCTTTATCATATCTAAAAAACACTTGGGGTTAGTAACAATATAATCAGACTAATTATATCCGAATGGGTCTAACGATAAGCATGACAATGACCTAAGTAACGGGTTAAGGAACTGGTGCGTATATAGTTGAACCATAATGTCAAGCCCGGACGAAGAAACACCCACTATTAATATCTATTAATAATATCTAATAATTACTTGGGCAAGTACCGCCAAAATCGTGATTTTGTTGCTATTTATATCCATTTTAATCACCCAGTACATGGTCAAGTATTGAGTTCTTTTCAACTCAATTGTTTGGGCAAAACATTAGCATCATAACTGGTTGGTGGTTTCAACCCCTCTGAAAAATATTAGTCAATGGGAAGGATTATTCCCATATATTATGGAAAATAAAACTGTTTGAAACCACCAACCAGATAAGGATCAACACCAGGAATTGGTGACTCACCAGCTGATCAGGATATATCATGATATATCTATCAACAAATCTTCGCCAAACTTGGCTGTGATAGGCGGCGCTGTGGCCCCGGGCGCATCACCACCAAGTCACGTTCCTGGCGAGCGACTCTCATAGAATGCAGCTACCATTCGCTTAATGGTGTTGATCCTATGGTTGAGGATTTTTTGTGGTTGATTGTCGCCAAAGCATGTCTGATCCGTGATGCAGTGTTTACAGTGTTTAATGGGGAAGGATTTGGAAGTGCTTGCATACTTCAGCAGCAAGCTGCCTTATCATCAAACCTTGGACTAGGAGCGCCAACAAAGAGAAGCCTCGCTTATACAATTTTGTACTGACGCAGTTTTGTCTCTTTGATGCAAGCTGGTGCTTAAAAAGCAAGACGTGCATGCTAAGATGTCAGGTCAGGGAACTTTCACGTTGCTGCCAACCGATCCAGACCTCATTATCACTACGCCGACGTTTCCAGATACGGTAAACGTGTCTCAACGGGGGAGGACCAAGTTTCCTTCACATGCTCCACAAAAAAATCGAAGATCATACCCATACCCATACAGTACCATAGCAGACCACACCATCCTCCTCCTCATCCTCCTCATCCTCCTCATCCTCCTCATCCTCCTCAACATCATCACCACCACCACCACCAGCACCACGATGACCACGGCCACCTAGACCACCAGCAAGACAAGCACCAGCACCAGCACCAGCACCAGCAGCACCACTGCCACCGCCACCACCACCACCAACAACAACAACAGCAACATCATCAACATCAACATCAACATCAAGTAACCAAGTTTACAATGTTTTCGCCATTTGCATCCTAATTCGCACAACACGGGTACGAGAAACGCAGGTAGCAAAACGCCTATCAAAAACTAACAAAACTTGGTTGACCATGGGTACATTTCACATACAGCTATTAGGGGGCCCATTATTTTTATATATTTTTATTATTGTGCCTGGGTGCTCGGGCGTATCCAAGAAATCAAGACATGTCAATGACATGTCAAGACAATTGCGTACACAGGGGAAAATTCCGATGACTGGGTACTAAGCATGGCTCTGAAACACGTGCCATTCCGGTCTCAGGATCACTTGGGCCGACATTTTGGATCACTTAGGCCGACAATCTTGGATGTGGATTCACACCTTTAGGGTTTATCTTTAGGGGGGGAACTGGGGCAGGGAACAGTGGGGACCACTGGAACCGGGGCCAAGAGACACTGAAAGAGTATCCCGATGAGCATCTCTATAATCCACTTGTGCAAGTCTGTCGAAATCATGTCCTGCTATGTCCTGCTATATGAAATTATATGAATATATCCTTCCATTGCAAATATCACCTCTATCTGCAACGTAGGCCTAAGCGAGCCAAAACGTAGGCCTGAGAGAGGTACTGACCTGCGATTCCTGCAGACGCACATACCAAAGAAGTTGAACATGTTGAACTGAGTAACCTCTATTACAGATTATTACAATGTTCTATTATGATCCCCTTTCCACGGAATTCACGACTACCATCCACTACCTACGACCCAGTGCCATTCCAAAGTTTGCAAATCTAGGCCAGTGGCACCCCAGGCGCATAGGCTGTCTCTGGCCGCTGCAACAGTTGAGCGACAACATCCTCCGAAGCAAACGAGAAGAACCCGGGAATGGACACGACGAGGTACCCTTTGTGACCCTACAACTAGCTGGGTATTGGTTCTCATATTCTGCCACGTTCAACCATCATATGGGTTACATCCAATTTTGAACATGAGAACCAACTTCATATGTTAGCTGGTATTTTCACACTACCCATCCAATTTTGAACATTTTCATCATATGGGTTTGTATGAAAATAGGGTACCCCTAACATCCAACGCTTCTGGTGCGGGACTGGAACTGGCATCTTTGCCCATGTTCCTTGACTATGCCTATAGGCGGCTTTTGAGCCTATTTCATGAACAGCTTTTCTTCTAACATTGCGAAAGGAACTGAAGCGACTCTGATTTCAAAACAGAAATGCTTTCTCGATTTTTACTTGAGCTGTGATCGAAGTCCAGTGTCACGGGCTGTTGCTGATGAAGCACTTTCTACAAAATCTTTCGCGGATGCAGCCGTGGTTTTCGACGAGTTCTTTTTTGAACAAATCAATTTTGCGATGTTTTGCGGAGCTTTCGTCGTATTCAGGGGAACATGCAGATACATTCATAACATGACATGGTATACTATGACATGGCATGAGAATGCACTACTATACTGCACATTGCATTATACTAAATTACAGCATATCCCATTTCATTGACATGACATGATAATATAACATAATGTTACGTACCTACTATATGACATATATACATCTTATTTGAAAATAACAAGTAAAGCCAGGTAACACATATCATGCAAAAAATCAAAAACATATATTTGATATCAATATATTGTACAATTTAAGTTTAAAATAGTTTGATATATACACCTGCGCCAAGCTGTTGCCACTGCACCTTTGAACTTACACCCCATCTTTTACATAGCATTTTTGATGCCCACTTGACGGCTCCCCATCCCAAAAACAAGCCTGAAAACAATTAACATCAATTAACAACCCTCAGAAGCCATGTTTTTTTTTTACATGGAAATGCATCGACTCTATTCAATTTGGATGTTCATATTTAGGCTTACCTTTAGGACTTTGGGTGGATGGGAGTAAAAATGGAACGTGGAAACATGCAATTGACCCTTCCAATTGACTTTCCTATCTTTTTGGAGCGAACTAATGGTAATCATATTATATATATAATTGTATATACTATGGGCCATAGTATATTATATATATATATCCTAAAACATCCTAAAATCCTGGACAATCGAGAGGTTTCGACACCGAGGGGCCAGGGGGCGATCTGCAGCGCAGCCGGGTGGAAGTGGTTGGTCCTTCACAAGTTTGGCTGCGGAATTTGAGATCTTTTAAGATGTTTTATTATGGGTTTAACATGATTTAGGCTTGTAGATTTTAGATGATATTAGAGGCTGTCATCGGGTTTCACAAGTAGCACCTTGTTTTGACCGTATCTTCTGCCTTCTGTTCTAATTACTTAGAAATCTTTGGGAAAGCTGCCAGTTTTAAATGATAGAATCTGGAGTTTGAGAACAGTACCAGCAAAGGATAGGAAGAACGACCAAGCAAAATCATGAAACGTGGCCGAAAGCAGTCCCAGCATGTACCAACTCAAGGCATGACACCTATGATCTCATCTTCATCAGCTGATACTCATCGCCAATCAGTTGTGCAGCTGCCGACAGTTCTAAACTCTAGCTGGAATTATGATGATTTATAGCTATTATTATAGGTATAGGACGGTATATATAGGACTTTTCAGAACTGGGGCTGACAATCACCCGCACCGATAAAACATCATTGAGTTTGTCCATATTTGTCCATATTTGTCCCAAGCAAAACACCAGCCCCTCATGATCTGGTCCTGCAGAAGTCCAAGCCAACTCAGAAACTCCAAGCCGACCTGCCAGGTCCAGTGCAAAATGTACGTCAGCCAGAGTCGTCCAAGTAATTTAGAAGCGAACTTGAAGTGAACACTCAAACATGATCAAACATATGAGGATCGATCAATAACTATTTTGCGGGGAACTTCCCCAGAAATCCCACGTTTTTTTGTGTTTGTAACATTTTGTAACGAGATTCTACGATTTTGACCCATATCAGCCCATCATTTTCCAGGGACCAAGGACCTACATGGACCCACCACTGGCACCTCCGGGTTGCTACCGGTGGAAGCTAAGCGTGTCCGAATCGAGGCACTGAGGGATTCGTTCCTGACCAAACGATTGTAGCGTTGCAACTGGGGGCGAAATCCCTATACGACTTTGAAGAACCAGGAACCAGGTCATGACCTATACTATCCTATACTATCTTATGCTATGGTTTTTTATATGATCGCAAAGAAGGCTTGATGAACCACAACACCAAACAGGTGGCCAGTGTAGCCAGTGGCTTGGTCATAAGGTTGTATGGGGAAACACTAGACCTTCAGACACATGAACTACCCACGGATCAAGAAACTCTCGGTACCTTGATTCATCTTGATGCGTTGTCAAGGGAGAGGGGCACCAAGAAAGATGCGTTTCTTTCGCGGAACATAGAGCATTAGATGGGTGAAAGTTGATACTTGTTCAGTTCGACACCTGACATCATGTGGCTGACCTTCATATACATGCGATCTCCAAAAAAGGTGCTGCACACGTGACCCCAAACAGTAACAGTGAGGATCCAACCAAGCTGAAACCTTGATCCCTTCACACATGAGACATTTTTTGGGGTGTGTCATGGTTTGATTGCCAAAAAAAATAGGGGACCCAAATTCCCATGATTTCTGAGGTCGGCACTGGGACGCCTACGGGGCAAGTTGTGGGTTTTTCAAAAGTGCTTTTTAGCCAACGCCAGAGAACCATCCCAACCAACCACAAAAGGCCTCACAATAATAGATTACACGTCATCCCATTTATAGGGCTATGTATAATATTTTACTAATATTAGTATATCGATGTATATCATTACTCAGTTTACGGCATTTTCTTGATGTCATTGCATCTCATTGCGAATCATAACCACGTTTCACCATGAGGTTTGGCGATATGAGATGCCTACGAGCTATATTATATGGGGTTCTGAAATGCGGTAACCCCATATCATTCAAGCTATCCACCCTTTTATATGGGGAAACCAATGAGGAGCCCCCTGGGGTGTGTCTGGAAATGGGATTTACCTCCAAATGGCAATTCTATAGGGAAATACAGTAGTGATTAACAATTTAACATCGATGAACTATTCAACGTGGGGATACACTATTTTCAGACAAACCCGTTTATCTATGTTTATCTCTGAATGTCAGTCATTTTCCCGTATACCGTATATGATATAAATGCATGGGAAATAGCAACCAAGAAACTACGCACCACTTCGGCGTCCCCTAAAACATTGAAAACATCTGTGCTCATGACAAAATGGCTCAAATAGACCATCAACTAGCGAATTTGGGGTTGCACTGTTTGGAAACAGTTTCGTTGGGTGAAGGGAACTTGCAGGGGAACAAGCGAAGAACACAGAGACATAGATATGTTTGGTACAAGAACAAGACAAGGTGAGTTGGGGTTGCAGAAACGCAAGGGTCTACTACCCATCATTTCCCTGTTGGGCAATGTGTGAAAACTGCCGCAAGGGTCCCCAAATTTTGAAACGTACCAGGGTGACATAATGTGAGCACTTGGAATTCAGAAAGGATTGAGTCTGCTGTGAGTGTTCCCTTGTAGCTTGTGCCTCAGGGAAAACGCCGAACATCACTTGTTCCAGCCATTCTCTCTGAGAGCCTGGTCCACAGTGAACAACCAAAGTGCTTGACACCGAAAATTGGACCAGCAATGAGGTGACATGGTTCGTCCAAAAAATGGGAACCCTACGATCAGCATCGATCAGCTATGCTCGATTTTTTCAGAGCCAGAAACAAATGGATTGCGGATTGTTCAGGGATCTTCAGCGAGCTTTAGCGGGTCTCATCCCTTAACTAACTTCCTCCCAAGAACTTCCAACGGATTGAGAGGGACAGCATTTGTGTCAATGTCTTGGAAACAACTGAAAATTCTCTTCGTCTTTGATATCAATGGTATTTGATAGTATTGTCTGTGCTGAAATGATTAAAAAAAACATTAACTATTGTTTTTTCACTCATTGTCATCCATAACTCACACCTTGGATACCCTTCGGCCCCAAGGCGCGCAAAATCGCCTGTATCTTTGAGCCCAGGAATAGGCCCCAGTTGCAGAAGGCCTTACGAACAGTTGCTCCAAGTAATGAAATCATCAGATCATCTGACGCCAAAAAAAAAAACATGTTTAACTGGTTGGTGGTTGACCTACCCTCTGAAAAATGATGGAGTTCGTCACTTGGGATGATGACATTCCCAACTGAATGGAGAAATAAAAGATGTTCCAAACCACCAACCAGTTAAAATCTATGCAAATCCACCATCTACAGATCATTTACTGTCTTTTCTGATTGGTTTGTCCATATCTGATAGTATCACGCAGTAACATAACGTATGAGTGTGAAACACAGACTTGTCCCATGTAAGCCAAGGAATGATCTGTCGTTGTCTTTTAGGATCAAATCAGGGCCGATGAAGTTCTGGCACGCCATAGGCGTGCAGCTCCTTTCGATCGTCCTGAGGGAGCAGGCACGTTGGTCTGAGCTGGAGAGAGATAGGCCTGTTCAGGTCAGCTGCAATTGTACCGGTGCCATCAAGGACAGCCGGGAAACCACATCAAATCACATCCATTATCTGTGGCTTGGAGTTGGGATCCTGGTAGGAGTTGGTGTAGGCATTGTCGTCACTCTCATCTTTGCACCATTCTTCACGTGCAAGTCCAATGGCAACCCTTTCAGAAGTAGGCCTAGGAGACGTGGAGGTGGGGTGCTATCGCTCAATTAAGCCTGGACGTAAAGTCTTGCTATGGTATGCAGATGATACAGTCTGGCATGAGAATATGGTAGCGCTAGTGGTGGGTAATGATGATGAAGTGGTGTTGTGGACGCCGGACGGTGACCTATACGTTGAGAGCATTGGATGCAAGGGCACCAGTGGGCCTACACGACTGCGGGGCTATGGGGCCCGTGGTGCAGCCCATCGATCTGTCCGTGGTCCAATCTACCGGTTCAGGACTGCACCTACGGATGATGACATTCGCCGTGTCGTGAGAGAAGCGTATAGTCTGGTTGTCAAAGAAAGGGGAAGTGTGGTGCCACCTACAGTAGTTGTTGACTCAAGAGGTGTTGAAGTTGACATTGATGAATTTTATGGAGAACCTTTTGTCCGGAAACGGATAATTGGGAAGGGTGGTGCTGTCCCCTCTCCTGATCCAGTTTCGCCAAAGAATGCCATCAAGGTCAAGCCGGCCACTGCTGACACAGTCTGGGTTGCCGCAGAGCCTCTTGGTGGTTTGGTGCTCGGCCAAGAAGTGTCACTGAACAGTGATGAAGATGTGCAGATTGGAGATAGGACAGCCTTGACATTGCGTCAAGGAGTGTGGGTGAAGGTAGATCTGGTTCCTCTGGCTGATGTTGGTAGCTATGCTGATGATCGTAGGAAGCTTTTCAATTCAGTTGCAGCTGACCCAGATCCTCTGGGGAACAAATCTCCTGGTCAGTTGGCCAGGCACAAGACAGCTGCAGTTGTAGGAGATGAATCTGAAAAGCCACAGGACCCAGATGTAGATGATGCTGCACATGGCGACGTCAGAACGCTTTACGTTGACACAGATGAACATGGTGAGCGATTCAAGAGATGGCGCAATGTGTGTAGTGAAAGCTTCACGCCAGTGTATGACTCCAAACCGTTGGAAGGTCCATGCACAGCACTCCATTTGATCAAGCACACGGAGAGGCAAGGGGGTGATCCCCGTCTTTGGCTGCAACTTTGGATGAGAACGAAGCACATTGAGACCACGGATAGGACTTATCATGAGATGAAGGTCTTGGTTGATGTGCTTTACTATGCAGGAACATATGACCAAGTGAATATTCCAGGGCTCATGTGTTTGGAGGTAGTTTGCAGACGTCTTCAAGCTATTGTTGATGCATATGCCAATGCTGGAAAACCAAGCTGGGAGAATGCCAAGCTTTTCACTGGTCAGGGTGCTCCTGAGGATATTGTGTCACCGGTCTTTAAGACCTATGCAGCCAAGAAGAATAAGGAGGAGCTGGAGTTGTTGCAAGCTCGACAACGAGTCCGAGAGCTTCGAGGTTCGCCTGTGGTTGGTTATGATGATGGATCTGGTGAGGTTGTCAATTCTCTGCCCAAAAAGTCACCGAAGGTCAAAGCCAAGCAGAAGGGCCGTGGTGATGATGGGCAGGCTGATGCTTGATCCATCCTATGAGTCAGACTCTCTAGCTCCGGGGTCTGGCCCGACGAACCACAATAGGAGCTTTGAGGTTTTTGGGCATCCTGGGTTACCTGCTGCCAACTCCAGGGGTGGTCGTCAGTTGTTCCCATTGCCTCATTTTGCATGTCCTCCCAAGAAGGTTGGAGTTTCTCGTACAGTTGCCAAACGTCGCAATCGAATTCGCCATATTGCTGAGAACTGCAATCAGTGCGTTGATTCACTCAACTGGCTCTCAGGGTACAGTCAACCTGGGAGTGGATGCAGTGGGATGCAGGCTATGGCATTGGCACGTATGGATGCCCTGGTGAGAAGTCAGGAGCCCAAAGGTGCCGTGCCTCGTCCGGAGGAAGCCTTGAAAGCGCTTCTCCGTGGTTCCAGCCCATATGATGGGGTTGGGGCCAATGAGTCACTCGCCTCCTATCAACCAGAGCTCGTTTCATTACCCGCAGACATCTCTGGGTGTCCTTTCCTTGAGGATGTGCTCGCGGACAACGACCGTCTGTATTTGAAGGAGAGATCAGAGCAGATGCTGAGAGGCAATGATGATGTTGAGCACACTGAGCTGAAGCCCTATTGGGATCCGGTTCTGAAGCACAACAAGAAGGAATATAACCGGCTTGTGAGAAGGCTTGCTGACATTGGCTATTTCAATTTCACTACACGCCCAGAGTGCTTTGTTGGCATTTTCTTTGTCTGGAAAAGCTCGAGAACAAGGCTGCGGATGATCACTGATGCTAGGCTGTCAAATGCCAAATTTCGGGATGCTCCCCCTGTCTCGCTCATGACTTCTGAGGGACTTGGGAGAATCGAGATTGAGCTGGATCAGGAGCTTCTTGGGTCAGGTGATTTTCTGGAAAACTTTTCAGTCCATGTTGGGCTGTCAGACGTTGAGAACTGTTTTCATACATTGCGGGTTCCTATGTGGATGTCGCGCTATTTCTGCTGGGATGCGGTGCCAGCCAAAGTGGTTGGGCTGGATGGAAAACAGGTGGATGGTGTTACACTGAAGCCGCTGGACCCCATCTACCCTTGTGCGGGTAGCCTGTGTCAAGGGTTCTCTTGGGCCTTGTTTTTCGCGCAGCGTGCAAACGAGCAGATGTGTGCAAGTATATCTAGCCTGCAAGATGCTTCCCTGAGTTTTGACAAAGGGGAACCTATTGTCATGAGGGTTGGGGCGGAGAAGCAGTCCAAGTTGCACTACTACGTGTATGTTGATAACCTTGGGGTGATAGACACTTGTGAGACGCTGGTTACAGAAGCGTTGGATGATTTGGTTTCTGCTTTTGATGCCTCTGGCCTTGTTTTGCATGGAAGTGAAGTTACTAGTGGTGTGGTGCAAGCCCTTGGATGTGAGCTTGACGGCACTTTACGCAGAACTACCCTCAGTCGAGAGCGGCTGTGGAGAGTTCACCAAGCACTGACAGGTCTTTTGGGCAGGCGGAAGTGTGCCGGTAGAGCTCTTGAGAAGATCATGGGACATTGCACTTTTTGTGGGCTGATGAATCGCATGTCATTGTCTTGTTTCCATGTTGTGTACAAGTTTATACAGCGACACTATGATCATGCTGCATTCATCTGGAACTCAGTTAGGAAGGAGTTGGCTGGTTTTAGGGGGTGTCTTTTACTGCTGGTTCAAGAATGGGATCGTCAGTGGAATCCTCTTGTCAGCTCATCAGATGCTTCCCTGACTGGTTTTGGACTATGTCATGCATGGTGGAAGAAACAACAGGTTGCCTTAGCTGGTCGCACTTTAGAGAGGTCACGTTTCAGGCGTAGTGATTTTCACTCAGCCAGGGAATCAGCCCTGGTTGCGGCTGGTTTTTCAAAGACAGGGCATGGATGGGCGCCTATTGACAGTGAGTCAATGCAGAAGCTGCAGCAAGCTGGTTGGAGTGTTGATCCGGGATTTCCGGAAGTTCCCGCTGCTGGACTTAGGCGAGAGCTGTGGACTCCGAAGCTTTGGGGTCGCTGGTTTCACAAGGAAGGAATTCTTATCCTTGAAGCTCGTACTCTGCTGAAAAGTTTGAAGAGAGTTGCTTTCACTCGAATGGGTCATACACTTAGACAACTCTTCTTGTGCGACAACATGTCAGTGGTTCTTGCAGTTGAGAGATTTAGGGCAAAAAACTTTAAACTGCTAGTGATAATTCGTGAGATAGCTAGTATTTGCATGGCTAGGAATATACATCTAGCAGTTAGGTGGATACCATCAGAATTGAATGCATCTGATGAACCATCTCGTCTTTTTGAAACTGCAGGCTCCGATTTGTTGATTGATTGTTTGGGTGATTTTTGGCCCGAAAGTTCTCCAGCAACAAACACACGGCAGCAGCACCAGCATGAGACGGACCCGAGAGCTTCACCTGCCTTGCCAGGAGAATCCAACAAGCGCGAGGCATCTGGAGCCGAAGAAACGGCAGAGGGATCTTGTCTTGGCTCACGAGGGGCGGGAAGTGGTTCCGAACCTTGCTGTCAAGAAGCAGAGAATCCTGGACAATCAGAGCGAGATTTTGCAGCGTCGATTGCAGGAGAAGAGAATTCCTGCGCTGGGCCTTCCAACGACCGAGGTTCAGCTGAAAGAGTTGATCAAGAATCTCTTGGTCCCGGGAGCAGAAAAGCTTCGGGGAGAAGATCTGGGTCACAGTTCAGACAGCAACAGCACCGAGTCAGAGCTGAAGGTAGGCGCAAGAGGAAAGAGAACTCGTGGGCCACCAAGCAGGCCAAGAGGTGCGTTGAGAGAAATAGTAGATGCTATGGTACGGAATCCCAAGAGTCAGACCATCTTGGAGCATGCGGCTGTTTCAGAAAGGGTGAGGCAGAACTATGCCAGGAGGCTGGAAGATTTTCAGGCTTTTCTGAAAAAGGAAAGGCTTCCTCACCACCTGGACGAGGATATGGATTCAGCTTTAGTCATCTTCTTCAACCAGAAATATTTGGAGGGGGAGGGTGCACATGTGGGGGACTATACCCTTGCAGCTATCATGGATGCCAATCCTTCCTTTGGCAGGCAGGGACATCGTCAACTGCCACGTGCCTGGAGGAGCCTCAAGGGTTGGAGGAAGCTTTGCCCTGCCAGGTCACGACTGGCGTTTCCTTTGGCGGTATGGTGTGCAATCAGCTGGAGGATGGTGCAGAGAGGACATTTGCAGAAGGCCATTTTCAACCTGATGCAGGTGTCCACTTACCACAGACCTGGTGCGCTTCTCCAGCTCAGAAAGCTGGGGCTTGCCCGCCCTACCAGCGGGATTACGCGGCACTGGTCGGTGGTGACCAGCCTGACAGAAACAGACGACATTTCGAAGACTGGGACAAAGGACGATTCTATAGTCCTAGACTCAAAGTGGATCACATTCATGGGACCGATCTTGGAGCAGTTGAAGAAGGGGAAACCATTGGACAGGGTTTGGAACTTCAACTATGCAGAGTACCTCTCTGTCTTCAGGAGCTGCTGCAAAGATCTGAGGATCGATCTGGTCCCTTACCAGGCTCGACACTCGGGCCCAAGCATCGACAGAGCAAGCAATGTGAGGACGCAGGAGGAAGTGAGAAAGAGAGGAGGCTGGATGGCTCGCCAGTCAGTGGCGAGGTACGAGAAGGCAGGCCGCCTTGCAGCAACGTGGCAGAAGTTAGACAGTGCCACCCAGTTGACTTGCAAGGCAGCAGAAGCAAACATCGAGGCCATCATCCTCGGCCAGCACTACCCCAACATAGCGCTGCCGTGAGAGGGATGAAAGGCCAGTATTTTGCAGATTTGTTTTCAGGAGTAGGTGGTGTGGCGAAGGCTGCGCGAAGACTTGGTTTTTCTGCTCGAGAATGGGAACTTCTTCATGGAGAAAATTCTGATCTCACTAGACTAGTCACTAGACCATGTGTTATATACAAGCTTGAGCAAGATATCAAACATGGAAAGGTTTTAGCAGCTATGCTTGCACCTCCCTGCTCGTCCTTTTCTCCGGCACGGGACAGAACTTGTGTGGTTCGCACGAAAGATGCGCCTTATGGTCTTGACAACCTGTCTCCAAAGGATGCTGAAAAGGTTCGGATTGGAAATTTGTGTTTCAAAGCTGCTTTTCGCATCATTCGTGTTTTAAACAAGTACAATGTCCCTTGGATACTTGAGAATCCTCATTCGTCCAAATGTTGGTATTTGCCAGAAATTCAGAACCTGATGAATCTTCCATCAGTGCATGTGCGAGTGACAGATTTTTGTTGTCATGGGACTCGGTGGCGTAAGAGAACCAGATTTTTGATTGGAAACATCAATGAGCAGGACACAATGAGACTACAACAAACATGTTCAGGCACACGTGGTTTTTGTGGTCGTACCAATCAACAACATTTTCAATTAACAGGGTCTGGTCCTCGCGGAGTTCCTTGGACACGCATCGCTCAACCATATCCCAAGCGACTTTGTCATCATCTAGCACATTCACTACTGGACTATAAGTTTGTCATCCCAGCGTCCTAGAAGCAACGGCAGAACAGGCATTTCTCCCCCCCTCTTGTTTGTTTCTCCCCCCCTCTTTTTGGTTGTTTTGGGTGAACACTTGTGCTTTGGGGGACCTGCAGTCATAGTGATTTGGGAGGTTGGTGGATGCGAAGCATCAATCATAAAGGATCATGACACTTTGTCCGATCCATGCCTCTTAGATGCCAGGACGCGTGAGTCTACTTTAGAGAAGTTTGCTGCCAAAATGACTGGCGGGAGGAGGGACATATGAGTGTGAAACACAGACTTGTCCCATGTAAGCCAAGGAATGATCTGTCGTTGTCTTTTAGGATCAAATCAGGGCCCCCGGCCCACCCAGCCCGGGGAGGTTGGTGGATGCGAAGCATCAATCATAAAGGATCATGACACTTTGTCCGATCCATGCCTCTTAGATGCCAGGACGCGTGAGTCTACTTTAGAGAAGTTTGCTGCCAAAATGACTGGCGGGAGGAGGGACATAAATGTATCTAAAATGGATGTCGGTCAATTCATTTGGGGTTCTATTGGACCCACAAAAGCAAATCAACATATCATAGTATATCTACCGTCTGGTAAACTAACATAACTATCCAAAATCACCATGCTATTAATGGGTAAATCAACTATTTCTATGGCCATTTTCAATAGCTTTTTGCATGTTTACCAGAGGGTAATAATCATATCATCAAAATCATCCCGCTGGCTTGATCCCAGTTGGTCTTTAGGTAGAGTGATTAAGCGTCCACCTTTGGGATTCATGATCCCATCTTTGCGGGCCGCAAGGAAGCTTGACCCCATCCCAAGATCAACCATGGAGATTTGTGATTTTGGGAAGCTGCTTGACAAGATACCCAATCGAGACAAAGCCAGCATGCGCTCGCAAAAGCCTCTAAACCTCTCGAGCTTGGAAACGACCCCAGCGGACATCAGGAGCATGGGGGTTGCACACCAATGTAGCGATCATCACCAAAACGTGGAGTTGGGTCCCCAGAAACTGCTACGACCTTGGCCTTGGAGTACTAATCAGTTGTGCTCATAAGGCCATTACTAAGCGATACCTCCACCACAGCACCTCAACGTTCCCCTGAAGAAGGTGGGAATGTCCGCCAAACCATAGAGCCTTGGTTTCTGGCCATGGCTGGGATGGCCATGGTGAATGGTAATCTGCTCCCTGTTGTACCACTTGGACGGGTCAACCAAGTTTACACATTTGAAACACGCGAAACATCACGAAACTTGGGGATATCTTGTGGTCACTGAGCACTTCTTCAAATTAAATGGAGAACCCATATATAGTTTACCTTAAATATTGGTCTCTACTTCTCTAAGTCTCTACAGTAGTTTAGTAGGAGAACCACCACTCAGCCCAAGCTACTCGGCAAACATCGTAGAGTCCCGATTTGGCAAGACCTGAGCGAGTCTTAAGGTCAAGATGTGCAGGGTTGCTCCAAACAGCCCAGGTACAAGATGATACAAGGATGGAAATTGATGGAACATGGCTAAATTGAAGAAGTACAGTAAAATGGTCAGTGTTCCTCCTTGTGGCTATCATTTAACCATATTTAACCTATTATATCCTCTAAAAGTCTGGGTCTGGAACAACCCTGATTTGGGTTTCTGATAGCCACAGAACATTCACACAATATTACACTTAAAATGGGGAATATATAGGTATATAAACATAATCGCAGAGCCGTACACAGCCTATACACTTAGCGACTTAGCTTAAGATCCAGCCATGACTCAGATGACTCAGTGAATCGGGTCATCGCACATCCAGAGCGAAGGCGTTGTTGATGGTGATGGGTTTCCCTGCCCCAGATTTGGGTCCATGGAAAATTTGGAGGAACCATTGGCTGCGAGGGAGTGAACATGGGCCGGGGCTCAAGGTGCTACTATATCTGGTATGTGTTTTTGTTCTCAAGATATGGAATCTTTTGACCCCAAACAAGCCTATGTTGGATCTGGTCTTTGTAAATTCAGGTCACATCCATTTATCTGCCCCAAATAAATCAAACATGATCAAACAGCCGAACTCAAAGTGAATTCCCTACTGCTTGATCAGAGGGATGGATTGCTTTTTTTTGTGCTGGTGACGGAACCCACAAGAAGCTGAAACAAAGGTGGGGTCCATGAACCCTCAGTACCTTGGGCCAGCAATTCTCCCCCTGGAACGTCTCGCAAAAGACCATCCTCCTGGTGATAGGAGGAATCCTATCCCCAGCATGTTCCTACCATGTTCCTGGTTTTTTCATAGAGACTGTCACTCTTTTGCTTTGGAAATGGAATGAAATGGACCTTTTTTCGACAGATTTACCAGCATAAATTATGCTGCAGAATGATTGCTTGCCTAGTGGATCCCAAAAAATGGACCCCAAATGGCGGATGTCTTCAAGGCCCCACAGACCTGATCCCTTATTATGCTGGGTTGGTTCAAAATGATATAAAATGATCATATCACACTATATCACGGCCCTAATAGGTATTGTTTTTTAAACGGATCCTCAAAGAACATGTTCTGTTGATCCGGATCTTCAATGGAGGAAATGAACCTTACACAGGAAAGCCTACCTCTGGCTGTGGAGATCGGGATCTATTTACTCGAAATTTCTCAGACGCTCAGACTGAGAACAATTTAGGCAACTGAAACCTTTCAAACATCATAATCTGGACCATAAAGCCTCCTTGGTGGATTCTCTCGATCATCTTTTCTGGGGGTGGCTGCAGGTCCTTTGGCATTTTATACCTGTGTCATTCTGAGACATTGCGGAGGGATCTTGCGATTCCTAATCATCTAAGTATATAAGTATGTTCCAATTATAGAGTATCACCATCCGCAATGAATATAGCAACAATGAAAAACGATCAGAGTCGTATACATGGAGAAGAACTGCCTGTTTTTATGAAGCTTCCCCATACAGTACGTTAGCCCCAGCCCTGCTGAAAAAGCACTCCTTGAAGCGCGCAGAGTTTTGGGAAGCCACCAAAACGCCCCTAGGATTCCAGCTGAACTTGTAACCTGAAGGCGCAAATGATGTTCCATGAAGACCGAAGTCTGATGATTCTTTTGATGACCAGAGACACCCGGCTGCATTCTTCACATGGTTTCAAACTTTTTTGCAGTGGCATCAGGAATTTGCACCTTCATCTATCATGCGGTACCCTCTGGTAATCTACCATAGCTGGCTAGAACATGCACTTGAAGTATCTTAACTACACTTCATCTTGGGAATTTCCACATCCATCGTCCAGAACTGGCTGTGGATCACTTCACCCTGGTAGGATTTCACATCAAAATAGCTCTTCATCATTCTGTATCCCCCACATTCACATGATCCGAACTCCCTATGACAATATATAGTAATCCATGGCAATCCCTTCCCCTACTATGAAGTACCCCCTAACACCGGCTGGTTTAGGGGTGGCCTTAAAGGATCCCCCACGCAGCAGCTGTGCAGCTCAGACGCCTAAAGGGTTCGATCCAGCTGCTTCTGGCGAAGGCAAACCACCACAGAGCGAAGCGAAGCGACTGATCTCGGCGCCTGTGCTCCTGGGCAGCGTGGACGAAGCGTGGGCGAAGCGTGGCACAAGACCCCACCAGAGTCCTTTGCTGATCTCCAGAAGTGATGATTAAATGATAAATTATATTGATTAAATGATGGTTAAACCCCACAAGATATTACAAGATCTGACTTGTTTATACATGTTCAAAGGTTATAAACTTTTTGGACGGGCTTGACCCAAAAATATAATGGGTCAATAATGGGTCCACATTCATCCAAACTTGGTTTCTCCGCTCTGACGTGATTCTATGATCCTTCTGGCCGTTGTGATATGGAAAGGCTTAAAATGATCCATAATATATACCTGCAGTAGGCAATCTTTGCATATCGCAGCCACTCCAAAATTGGTGAATAATAAGTCAAGAGCTCCCCTACTACATGAATGCGAACGTGTGCCAAAGTCCAAAGGGATCAAACATCAGAGGATGGTGATTCCCCTTGCATGGGATTTTTTTCCCGGGGGTCAAAACAGGTCGCCCCAAAATGGATTCCATTCGCATTTCTGATGCCTGAATTGGAGCTACTTATCATGTGGGTTTCTCTGAAACAGGGCATCCGCAAAATTTGATAGCTTTTCGATTTCTCAATATTTATCCTCTATTACCCACTAAAACCATTCACGCATGTAGAAACCCGCAATAGAATATGCGTTTCTGTCATTTGGGGTGGGGTTGGGGACGTTCATGTCAACTCGAACACAAATGGAAGTGAAATCTGTGCATTGGGGTGGGGATGGGGTAGGGTGGGGCAATAACGTTCATGCTACGCTATGAGGATCTCCTCTTGCACTTGCGCGCTCACACACACACACGTCATGCTACTCTATGGGAATCTTCTCTTGCACTTTCACACACACACACACGTCATGGTACGAACTCAATTGAAGTATATTTCAGGTCCCGAAAAAACTAACAATCTAGGTTGCATAAATAGATAAAGTTGATCACGTTGCATTGGCAAGGTCTATAGGAAAACCTTCATGACTCGCAATTGCCTTTCCTGGAAGGCAATGTACAAAAAAAGGGTACACCAAAGAGAAAGCTAGGAAAGCTTACACGAAAAGAACCATCAGAAAGACTTACTGCAAACAGAGTACCAGAGAAGACCTCCATAGCGTACCTTGACATGTGTGAGAGAAAGTATGAAAAAGAACATGATTTCTCTTCTTCATGACACATGTTACAAAAAACATGGAAAAAACAGAAGAAACACAGGAAAAACGATCATGTAAATGGCTGCGGCATATATACATGAGAAAACAATTTCCACGTTCCAAATCACCTGATACAGAAAGCGACGCAGGTTTCTATGTGCGTGAAGCCTCAAATGGCTCGTGGTTATCCATATTCTCAGACAAACCCGTTTAAGGCTTCATCACTGGTGGTTTCAACCCATCTGAAAAATGTGCTCGTTCAATTGGATCATCAATGGTGGGGTTGAACATAACAAAACTTGAAACCACGGACTATCCTTAATTTGGGTTTGTTTGAAAATAGGTGTTATATCCCTTCATCAACTGGTTTATGAAATCATCTTCCACATGATTGTGGGACATATCCGTTTTCACACAGCCATTTCAACATTTTCCAGGCAACCAAAACACAAAAAACCTGATAGCTCCGGCCCACCTCGCAGTGTCGATCATGCTCATGGCACTCAGGTGATCGATGCCTGCTGTCACAAAACGGACACAAATTGGATACCAGGGATATAATTCTCTATATGTCATAGTAAATGCACATATGTCATTCTGCATGAGGTAAAAACATCTGAATTATGTATATATACAGTATATACATATTATAATATATATATATATTATATATATATATATATCATATTATA